GGCCCTTTGAGATCATGGAACATAGTCCAGTTAGAAACCTAGGAGCCCTCCCCATGCCCAGGTGCCTGTTTCTCCAACTGGGCACACCGTTTCCCTACAGAAGTGTCCTCGGGACAAAGAGACGGGGAGGAATGTCATCATCATTTGGGCTCTCACTGTCTGATTTCAGCAGTGCCTTCAGTTCACACAAGATGCACCAGAAACATAAGGAAAATTTACCCATCTGAGAAATGGGTAGAGTTCTATGACTGATCTGGGGTTGAACAGTCCTGAATAGCTTCTACTTTCTCCAGGTCAGGACAGAAACCCCGTGGCCAGAAATACGAATTTGAGACACCAAATGCATATTTCTCTTTGTTCTGTTCTGGAGCTGGTTGGGGGCTCGCTGTGAGTGGATCGATTGTGTTGATCCACAGTAACTCCATGACTTGAAACTCGGCATTAAGAAAACTAAGATCATGGCATCTGGTCCTATCACTTCCTGGCAAATAGATGGGGAAGAAATGGTCCTTCACTCCATTGTATCCTCACAACAATCCTTCGGGGTGGGCTAGGTTGTCCCAAAGTCACCAGTGAGCGTCACGGCCAAGTGTGTCCCCAGTCCAACACACTTGCTGTGTCGCACTGCATTGGTTTTTTGGCTTAGGCAGAGGTCTTTGACTCTCACAACAAATTTCTCATGGCTCGTCCCTTCTGTGCATCTTGCTTCTGTTTCATAATACCTCGTTCCGCCATCCCTTGCTGCAGCCTTCCGCTTCCAGGCATTTCTCCTTTCTTCCTGACCCAGAAACGCCTCCCACTTCTCTTAACAAAACCAAGAAACTTTAACTAAACCAGCCAGCTGAAAACGCTGCTGTCTCGACAAGGCAGCTTTGTAAACCAGCGTTTCTTGTTGCTGGCTTCTGGTTGCCCTGAATGCAACAAGTGAGCAAGGGACAAGCCATCCCAGTCCTGTCTCCAGCAGGCTCAGTTCCCATGTGGAAGGAGTTCCCCCTGACCCTCACAGGGAACTTCTGGGTTGCTAGATAATCATTGCACGTTCGAACAAAGACTTTGGATTCTGTGCAACAGTTCCTTCTGTGTTTTCTGGATCACATCTTTGTGGTGGCAAAAAACTTGGTAAGTTAGAAACATAGAGACAGAGTGAGTCAGAAGGGACCTCCCGGGCCATCTAGTCTGACCCCTGGCTCCAGCCGGTTCCGCTCATGACATGCCCCCCATGTGCATGTCCAGCCTGTCCTTGAACACCCTCACCGATGGGGCCTCAACCACCTCCATGGAAGCCCATTCCATGCCCTTGGGGCCCTAACCATCTAGAAGTACTTCCTGGCATCCACCCTAAACCTTCGTTCCCTGAGCTTGGCTCCATAGTGCGAGGTGACAGGTGGCTTGAAGCAGAAATTCAGCAGCATAGGGCAAGCGAATGGAAAAACACAACGTAGCTCTTCACAGCCCTGTGCTAAGGTGCGTAACAAATGCTTAGAAAATCTGTGGACTTCTTGTTGCAATCTGCGTGCTTCCCCCATCCTTTTCTGACTGATCTGCACCACTTCTGCACTGAAGAAAAGATTTCACTGGGCGTGTGCCTTCTGGTGCAATTCGTTCGTTCCTTCCTGGGGAGGGTTACTCTTGCCAACTCTGAGAGAAGAACCTCAGATTCCCTTTTGCAGGGGAATATGGGTCCTACTAGGATAGACGTTCCAGAAGGATCCCTTCTTTGCACCTGTTTGATAATACCCATTCTTGGATCTGAGATGGTTGCTTCGAGTTTCCTCATTACCTGAGTGGCTGAGCAATTTAGCGTGTGATTTGCACTGAAAGCTCCTTCAGTGGTTTGCGAGTTCCCTTTTTGTGTGTTTGGCCAGAGGTTTTGGATGTTCAGTGACCCCGGCCAGGGCGTTCGCAGCTCAGTGGTCCTGCTGACCTGTTTAGCAGAGAGCAGAAGTGGAGATTTCGAAGTCCTAAGATGCAGTTCGTGTGGTCTGAAAACGGGACCACTCTAAACTTCTCCATGTTGCCCATAAGAGTCGTTCGTTCTGCAGACCAGTCATGGATGGAACTGGATTATCTTAACCAGAACTGGCTTCTGTTGTTGCGACAAGCCATCGAGTCCTCTCCAATTTCTGGTTGACACCATGAATGGTAGTCCTCCAAAATGTCTTGATGGCCTTGCTCAGCCATTGTCAACTCAAGGCTGTGACTTCCTTGATGGAATAGCTATTATTATTATTATTATTATTATTATTATTATTATTATTATTATTACATTTCTATGCTGCCCCTTGCCGAAACCTCGGGGTGGCTTACAACACGATAAAATACATTGACATACAATAGCACATAATAAATTACCATTAAATACAAAAATTCAAAAAATACATTGATTTACAAATATAAGATTAAAATTATCAGTATAAATTAAGTAAATAAAAATATAGGAGGAGAAAGAGAAGGAAGAAGAAGTTGCCCTGGCCAGATCATATGTTTTAACAATTAAAATGATGTTTAAATAAAAAGGTCTTTACCTGGCGCCGAAAAACCAGTAAAGACGGTGCCAGGAGGACCTCTACTTTTCCAGCCTTTGTCTTGCTCCTTGAACAAATTCATCAGCATTAATGACCACTTGCGCAAACAAGGATTGGGCAGAGCCAGTGGGCGCAAGCTACCTTCCCCACAACCTGGTGGAAACAACAACAACAACAACAACAAAAGTGTGGGATTCATATGACCTGGAAACCATCAGGGGAACTTCCGAACACTGGAGAACTATGCAGGTGGGGTTGCTAGAAAGCTGAAGTAATTTGAATCTGTTCCGGATCTCTCTGACTTCACAGTTAATGTACAGATAATTTAATCTCCAGAGATTCATGTCTGGATCTCAAATTAGGCACAAAACTTCCTGGAAGATCTGGAGTCAGTCCTGGACCGCTTTGCTGTTCCTCTGGTATCTCCCAGGGTCTTTGTGGGACCAAAGGGGGCTCTGTAAGGAAGCATCCCACGTCTTCTGAGTGAATTGTGGGGATTTGCGGAGTGGGGCCAAGAGGCTTCCAACAAGCTGTTGCAGCGCATGGGAGACTTGGCTGGCTGATCCCCTCCCTTCATCTCTACGGCAATGGTTGAGTTTGTAAGGACTAGGGACATGACATCACCGTGCCCAGGTTCCTCTTTCCGCCGTGGAAGGTGGGAGGCAGAGCTGAACAGCATGGGCGCCCGTCATGCAATGCCTCGTCTTTAGTTCGACTAAACAATACCTGGGAGAAGGCAGGAGGCAGTGAGTTCCAGGCCTTCCTTCGTAAGACTGAGACCACGTATTTGCAGAAATGTGGAACCGGCGGGCCTTGCTCTCACTGCCCTTTGCCCCAGGCCATGGCTTCACTTCAGGGCAGGGAAAGGTCTCGCATGTGCGGAAGGATTCAAAGCCACCTCGGTGGGGGAAGGCGGGCTGAACGTTCTGGAGCCACGAGCACCGGACAGACTTCCTGGACGGAGATGTGGACCTGGCTTGTCCTTCTAGCCGCCTTGGCTGTGTTGGAACATTATGCCAGCCCGCCCGTGAACAACCCAGGGTGCACCTAGCGGGTGATGGCAGGTAACTGACGGTGCACCTCACCGTGGGATTATTTGTTTATTCTTTATTTATTTAGAGTATTTGTATGCCGTCCTTTCGCATAGCCTCAGGACGGCTTACATAAATAAGAAGAATAAAATAAAACATAATCCAAATAATCCAAATAACATCCAGATCCACCCTGGCTGCAGAAGAAAACCTATAAGCTGATGTTGAAAGTTATTAAAATATTGTTGAAATAAAAAGGCCTTAGCCTGTGTCCTCCAGGTGGGGGCGCAGCTGATGGACCAGCCGAAGCTGGAGGACTGTGCTCCTGGCCCCCGCGGTCACCTGGGCCTCCAGGGACAGCTCCGGGCCTAGGGGCCCTCCCAGGCTGCAGACTGTCCCTCAGAGGGAGGGCACCCCGTCCAGGGCAAGGCCCAAGTCAAGGGTTGCTCACCTCCTCCTTTCCTCTCCTTCCCCCTCGGTCTCGCTGCAGCTATTTCAGGGGGCACTCTCACCACTGCAAGCCTCCACAGGTGCACAAGGGCAGGTGATGTGAAAGAAAGGTGTTTTGCAATTACTTACAAACATTGGGGGCGGGGGGTGAGAGAGAGAAGCCAGGATAAAGAGCGGGTTGGCAACTGCAGGCAGCCCTTGCAAGGTGCCACTGGGGCATTCGGAAGGTGCTGCTATAATTGGCAAACGGGGATGGCGGAAGAGATGATCTGGAGACCTTCGTGACAGCTGGCTTCCATGATCTGCAGATGAAAAGCTGAAAAGGGAAAAGCTGCAGTGTACTTGAAATGACTCATGACTGTGGTTAGAGAGGCCATTGGCAGCTGCCCCTGCGTGTTGTTTGGGGCCTTTTGGGTTGGCCGGCCGTGGTGGCCCCCGGAGACGTGTGTCCAGAGCGGCCAGAGAGCTTGCCACTCCTGCCACGCAGCTCTGTACATGATTGTTGGTAGCAGCCGTGGGGTCCGTCCCTCAGGTCTGGCTGGGATGACAACCTACGGTGGGTGTGACACCCCTGGAACAACTCAGGGGTTGTCAGCGTGACTTATTGCCCTCACACAAGCCATTCTGTGGGGATCAGTTCAGAAGATGAGGTGACAACCCGTCATGGCGAGAAGCCCTCCATGGAACCCTACGCTGTGTGAACGGAGCCCTTGTCTCCCAGCACGTGGCGTCCAGGAGGGCAGCTCTGTAGACCTAATCTCAGGAGGGCTTGGCTGGCTGAGTCTTCTCGACTGAGAACGGTTGACTGAATCACCAGCAGTGAGGAGGAAGCAAAGTTTTGGTGGGTTGGGCGTTTGGCTCTGTGACTGAAAAAAAGATAGCAAACATGCAGTGAAAGGAAGAGAAGAGTTAGAAAACCCCCACACTGTGAGTAAACATGCTGGGGAAATTGGGCTTCCCCTTTTTCTGAGATAAAAGAGAGAGCGGGAGAGAGAAGGGTGCAGTTGTGACCATCTCTAGCAGAAGCCAGAAAGGATCTAGGCTGTGAAGATCACGCAACAACGATGGGGGACCTGGGCTCCTACATCAGGCATATTGAACTACTGGGCTACGAGAAGAGGTTTTTCCCAAGCCAACACTATGTAAGTACCTGGAAATGAAAACCTTTGCATTGAATGCATTCATGTGTGCCTGATCCAGCCCGGTTTAGGTTCCTATGGGGCACGGATCTGATGGTCTAGTGCAGGGTTGGGCAGAAAGAAGATCTTCAGATGGTTTGAACTTCAGCGTTTTGTATTCCTGGCCTGGGAGATCAAGTCCCAAATATCTGGAGATCTATCCTGGTCTAGTGTACTGGGAAAGGAATGTTGGTGTGAGGAGGAGGTTTCAGTTTTGAGTAAGGTGGTTGGGAAGAGTCCCAGCATGCAAAGTACCTTGACGGTGTTCATTTCCTTTCCTGATCAGGTTTACATGTTCCTGGTGAAATGGCAAGATCTCACAGAAAAAGTCGTGTATCGCAAGTTCACAGAGATATATGAGTTTCATGTAAGTTCAGATCTGGATTGTTTGTGGAGTGTGAGTTTCAGGCTGGGGTCCTGAACACACAGACCCGGGAGAAGAACTCCCCTGGGTTGCACTTCTAATAAGTTGGTCTAGGACTCGTCTGTGGGAAGAAGTCCCATGAAAAAGTGGTGATTACTTGAGCTGGCCCGGCACCGGATGCACGGCCCCGCAGTTGCAAACAGAAGGGCATTAAATCTGGACAGAGCTTGCATTTGGGGCAGGGGAAATAGCTACAAAGAAAAAAAAGACCTTGCTTTCAAATGAGGCACATGAGTTTGCATCATTTTGGCGTGGTGCTTTTGCTTTTAAGCACTCGCCTCTGCAAATTTTTGTGAATACTCCTGTTCAACATAATATATAAATGAGGTGAGGGAAAGGAAGGAGTCCCACTTTTTGGTCCATCCATTTTTAAAGGATCAGCTTAAGCGCAATCCTATGCGTATTTGGACTTTTTTGGCTAAACCTGCACAGAATCATAGAATTGTGGGCTCGGAAGGGACCAATATGCCATTGGGTCCTACTCTCTGCTCAGCGCAGAACTCCATGTTCCAGCATCAAGACTGTGCCCTTGCAGTTAAGGCACTGATTTTCAGGTCTGTCTGGTGCTCACTCGATTTGGAAAACAATGCTGGATTTGGAACCGATTCTCGTGACACAGTAGCCTTGCAGAAGGACAACGGGGCAACTTTAGCTCTAGATTCAGCACCTGCCTCGTTCTTTCATGCTAGCCGTTCGCCCCCAAGTCCAAACAGAGCCCACAGTTCTCATCTTCATGGATCTCCTTGGTTACATTTCTTGGCAGCTGAGTCTAGGCCTGGGGCTTGTGCAGCAGGATTCGCCCTGGGGTTCCGTTAAAGAAATGGGAACTCTCCTTCCACATGGATAGTCTGTCGTGGGGGGAAGTTCGGTTGGAACCCTGGCGGGACAAAGGGTTGAAGGCCCATTTCTTCTCCAGACCAGCCTCTTGTGTAAAACAGGTGTGCACATAAGAGCGTAACAACGGTTGTGCATTTCTGCTGCATTTGCCCAGTCCTTGGAAGACACATTTTTCAAGGGATGCTTTCGGAGGCTTGGCAATAAATAAATTTGCTGGGGCTTGAAGGCTTGAGCCCAGACTAAGAGCACTGACTGCATCTCCGGTTCTTCTTCAAGGGCACAGATGGTAGCTTTGGGCACTTGGGCAATATTTTTAAAAGAAGCAAGGCAATTTTCTTGCGGCAAGGATAAAAATATCCTTGCAGAAATTCCCACCACTGGGAGGGTGGCCAAAACGGTCAGAAGAGGAAGGATTAAGCAGTGGGAATTTTCAAACCACTTGACATGGATTGAGAAGTATTAGGAAATCAAATGTTGCAAGAAACTCACTCGCTTTTGCGAAAGCTCAGCAAACAGCAAAAGAGAAGTGCGTTGCTTGATTTTTCTAATAATGCTGCCTTTGTTTTGGTTCGTGTTTTGGGAAGCACAATGTGGCTATGCTGTCAGGATCTTGTGCATTCAAAACAAACAAACAAACAAACAAACCAACCAACCAGTTCGAGTTCCTGGTGTTTAAACTGTTTCTTTTGACCCTGGCTTTCCAGCCATTTCTGTTTCAGAAACGGGCACTTGTGAAATGGATGGACTTGCAAAGTTACTGCTGGTGGGAGAGGACTACCCTGAAGCACATGCAGAGTGCTTTTCTCTCAAGCTCATCTGCATGTCAGGCTTCCCCACTAGGGCTTAATTTACTGGTGTGGCCTGCAGGGAGGTGCTGGGTGTACCCAAGTTGCTGGTTTTACATGATCTATTATTACAGTTTATTATTCATTTGACTTGTTTGCTGCCACGTCAGCCATAGGCTCAAGCACTGAACAACAATTAATGCAATTCACTCATCAAATCACAATATAAAATTAACCAATAATGTAACCATAAAGTCTTGACATGATTATTCCATTCCATTTCTACCCCAACGTGTTGCTTCTTGGGCGGAGCCAAAGGTGGTTTGAGGAGCCGCACAACAACCCTGCGAGACAGGTTGGGCTGAGAGCGAGAGAGGGCCGTTGCTAACTTTCTTCATAGTAACGCAGAACGCAAGAGGTGAATTATTTTTGTCAGCCGAATTCAAGGTGGCTTTCCTTTCCTGTCTCCCACTAGAAAGCGTTGAAGGAAATGTTTCCAATCGAATCGGGAGATATTAATGTGGAGAATAGGATCATTCCCCATATGCCAGGTAAGCGGCTCCACTGTGAGGCCATCAATTTGTACCCGTGTTCTTAGCTACCACAGGTGTCTATGATGCTGAGAGTGTGAGCCAGGAGTCTCTGCCCCGTTTGTGCTCCAGGTGAAGCTTCCATCCTTGTGAATGGAGAACCCATGTTGTACCAAGCTTTGCTTCCGCATATTACCATGGTTCTTCCGAAAGTGTCTGCACTTTTAAAAACGCTATTTATTAAGAATCGCAAACAACAAATTACATCATTTCCCACATGTATCTTCCTTTGTGATGCGTTTTTCCCAGCATCGTACCAACTTTTTGATGCCATCAACAAAAAATATATCAAATAGATTGATAAAATAGAAAAGTGCGGAAACTTTTGGAAGGCTCCTCATGCACAGGGCCTGCTGGATATCTCACCTGTGGTCAGCGCAAAGGTGCGTGTGTATTGCTGCAAAAGTTGGGACCCCTTGGAGACCCCCTTATGGGATCCCCAGTCTACCTGCTCCCAGTCCTAAGAAAACCCGGTTTTGCCTCCTTTATGCAAGGCAGCACCCACCTGGTGAAAACGGTGAACCGTTACTAGACGCCTTCATATTATCAGTCTCAGCCACATTTCCTTAAATAATTATTATGAATACTCTCAAATTAGACTGTGGCGAACTCTGGCTTAAGCCCATGTCTTCCTCCAAGTTCCAGGCCTTTGGGGCTTCATTGCAGTGGAGTCCAGGCAATCTTCAGATGCTCGAAGGAAGTCTTGCTTTCCCTTATCCCTCTCCAACCATATTAGTTCATATGATTCCTAGCCCAGTTGTGGCATGTGGGAATTTCCTGGCCATACCCTGAGGATGTGGGAAAGCAAGCTGTGGGAAAGCTGTGAGAAATACATGACTCGGCTGCTAGGTGAGTTTCCGCAGTGTGTTGGGGTGAGATGTTCACTTCCTACATGATAAAACAAAGATCTATTTGGAACCTTGGTTTGTCAGAATCAGGCCCCTGGAAATGCTGCATGGTGTATTTGAGGAACTGAAAGGACTGCTCTGTTCCAGATGGTTCACCAGACAGACAGATGTGGCCAAGAGTGATTTATTTATTTATTTAAAACATTTCTATGCCGCCCCCATCGCAACAAAGCCTCGGGGCAGCTCACAACATAATTAAAAACATATAAATAACACTTAATACAATAAAAATTGAAATGACGGGGTGATGACGGGGCAATGCTTCCTCTGGACATCAGGTCCTGCAGATGTGCCAGAGAGTGTGATGCGCCCCATCGGCCTTGGAAAGCACTCCCACACACTCTGGTTGTGTATTTCCGGAAGCCTCGATGGCAGGCACAACAAGATAACCGTAAAGACCCCTTTTGCCTTGACCCCGAGCAGTTTTATGGAAAGATCACCCAGGCCCCCTGCAGTGACTTAGGACAGCACGCTCCCGGGGAGTGGCTCTCACCACCAACTACAAGCCTCCTACAGTTGGAGGAATACCACACCCGGAAGGTTCTATGCTCATTATTATTATTATTATTATTATTATTATTATTATTATTATTATTAACATTTCTATGCCGCCCCTTGCCGAAGCCATTGTTGGAATGCCAAACCCAGAAGGTTCTAGGTTCAATTGTAGGGATCCCATACCCAGAAGGTTCTAGGTTCACCTGTGGGCATGCCTCACCCAGAAGGTTCTAGGTTCAATTACAGGAATGCCATACTCAGCGAGTTTTTTTTTTTCTATTTATATCCTGCCTTTTTCCTACAAAGGGCTCAAGGCAGCTTACATCTCCTCCATCTTATCCTCACAACAACAACCCTGTGAGGTAGGTTGGGCTGAGAGTCTGTGACTGGCCCAAAGTCACCCAGTTGGCTCCATGGCTGAGCGGGGACTCGAACCCAGATCGTCTGAGTCCCAGTCCCACGCTCTTCACCGCTACGCCACACTGGGTTCAGTTGTGAAACCGTCATGCAGAGAAGGTCTGAGGTTCGATTGTGGGTGCCTCCCACACAATGGGTTCTCGGTTCCATTGCTGGCATCTCCAGTGGCCCCCAGAGAGCTACTGGCAGCCACCGCAAGCTCCTCCAAAGCAAATCAGCAACTCATTCAGCCTTTCTGTGTTCCATCCAATCTAGCGCCAAGGTGGTTCGATAGCCAGCGGTCCACTGAGAACCGGCAGAACACACTGACCGAGTACTGCTCCACCTTGATCAACCTGCCTCGCAAGATCTCCCGATGCGGCCATGTGCTGGACTTCTTCAAAGTGAGACCGGATGACCTGAACCCTCCGACGCTGAGCCAGTAAGTCTCCGTGGGGTCTAGAAGGCCCGCTGGCTTGCTGGCTGCCGGAGAGCCTGCCGCTGCTTCGCCCCTTGTAACCCTCCCTCTTCACCCTGCCCAGAATATGATCGAGCACATCGACCGGTGCGCAAAGGGCATGGGTGTGAGGCAACGGAGTTAATCTTGCCGTTTGCATCTTGCATTTCAAAGAGAGAGAGCGTATTTTGTCTCTGCAAACCTTTCCACAAACCTAGGCTGCTTCTGTTAGCTAGCAGGTGAGCTTTCAGAAGAAAGGGCTTGCTTGCAGACCCCTTAGACTCCGTGGCTAAGACATGATACTTGATATCTTCATGGTTTTCTTCTTGGGTTCTTCCAGCATCAAGAAACCAGAAGCCTTTCTGATGCCACAGGATTCCAGGAAGATTGCTGCAGGTAAGGGAGCAGGAGTCGCCAAATCTTTCCATCTCGTCTCGCAGCTCTAAGATCTGTTTCCTAGGGTGGCCACGGGGGGTTCAGAGGCAGTCCACCTGAACACAAGTCTCTGGAGATCTGCAGTGAGACTTGAGCTGTCCTCCCTCTTTGCTTGGGGTTTTTGCATGGGGGCATCTGCGGGCAGCACCCCTAGAAAAAGCAGAAGAAGAAAAGGGAGACCGAAGCGGAGCTGGGTGGACTCGTTCAAGGAAGCCACAGCCTTGCATTTGCAGGAGCTGAGCTAGGCTGTTACGGACAGGACCTTTTGGAGAGCTCTCATTCATAGGGTAGCCATAAGACGTGGATGACTCGATGGCACATAACAGCAATACCTGCTTGGAAGACGAATGCTGAACCAGGTGGTCCTTTGGTCTGATCCGTCAGCACAGCATTTCTTAGTCTCATACAATTGTCAGGAATTTTTTAAAACAAAGATTTATTTGTTCATTTAGCTTCCCATGAGGACTAGAAACACACCTTTTCTTTAAAGATGAAGTGCCACTAGGACTCTGAAAAGGGAGGAGCACAGAGCTCAAGTGCACATTTTAAGTTTCAGCACTACTTTTTATCCCAGATATCTTTATCCCAGGGATATTCTGAGTGTGTGTGATGAAAGGCAATGCATTAAAGTTTCCAGATTGGGACTGATCTGCGCCACACTAGAGAGGCCTTTGGAGCCCAGCGCTAGGGAATCGCTTTCAGCTCATGGGAATCTCCTGATCACGGTGGCTCCTCTTCTTACAGATATCACAGGGCCAATCATCCTGCAGACCTATCGAGCTCTCGCTGACTACGAGAAGAACTCCAAAACCGAGATGAGTGTGAAGACAGACGACCTGGTGGACGTCGTGGAGAAAAGCGAAAGTGGTAAAAAGAGCAGCTTTGGCAGGACGGCGGCCTTACGGTTATGCCAGAGCCAGTTGTGCATTGACTGCAGCAGCCGAGAGGAAGCCCTTGAACGGGGTTCTAGGACAGGCAGTAAGGAAAGGAGGACTGGGCTCACCAGGCGGGTGCTGCCTTGCATAAGGAGGCAAAACCGGGTTTTCTTAGGACTGGGAGCAGGTAGACTGGGGATCCCATAAGGGGGTCTCCAAGGGGTCCCAACTGTTGCAGCAATACACACGCACCTTTGCGCTGACCACAGGTGAGATACCCAGCAGGCCTTGTGCATGAGGAGCCTTCCAAAAGTTTCCGCACTTTTCTATTTTATCAATATATTTGATATATTTTTTGTTGATGGCATCAAAAAGTTGGTATGACGCTGGGAAAAATGCATCACAAAGGAAGATACACGGGAAGCAGGGAAGCATGATGGAAAGGACAAGAATGGTCCAGATGAATCAGAAGAATGTGCAGGCTGGGAAAGCCATTGTGCCAGGAGATGTTAGAAACCGAGTCGCAGGACTTTCCGCATGCAAGGACAGGGCTCTGCTGTGGAATGCAGGCTTCCCCCATCGGTGCAGGCAGCCCCAAACCTTGTCCCTCAGTCAGGGTAGGCAGTTCCCGTGTGAATTTTCGCATTTTAAGACACTTTTCTTTCCTCGCCACAGGCTGGTGGTTCTGTCAGCAAAAGAACAAGAGAGGCTGGGTGCCCGCTGCATATCTAGAACCCATGGACGGCCCGGATGAGACAGAGGAACAAGAACCCAATTACGCAGGTAAGCTGCTCTTTCCATGGGGCCAGCGATGTCCGGCGTTCAGGTCAGCATCAGCTCAAATGCAACAGAGGCGGTGCCCCAGCTCAGCTGCAGAACAGCTGGGCCAGAATGCCAAATAAAGTGAAATGAAATAAAATAGAAACAAAAACGAAGTATTCAAACTTGGCCTTTTGATATTGCCCAACCTACTAAATGGCTTGTTTTTATTTCTTATAGTTTTAGCAAATAATATTTTTGGCAAATAAGCAAAAGACAGCAGAGCTGTTCAAACTCTTTAAAAAACCCCCTCTAAAAAGACAGTAGAGCTGTTCAAACAGAACAAAGCACGGTTCCTGTGTTCTGTCCAACACAAAGAAGCAATAAGAAGCAGCATTTTAAAAGAGAGAGAAAAAACCCCAGTCAGTAAATTTCAGAGTTTACAAAACAAAATTGATCTAAGAACAAACTTTTATCCTGAGGGGGAATGGAAGAAATATATCAGCTAAATAATAGTAAAGAGGATGATAAAAAATAGTGATCAAGGAACGTAAAGAAATACATTTGGAAGTTGTTGTGCTTTGTGAATCTGGTTTATCTATGTGGATTACAAACCAGAACTCAACTCCTGTAAATGCCTCCAGTTCATGTTTATATGAACTCCAGCATCCTAATTTTTCCATATAAACAATTCCATAAATGTTCTCCACTGTCTCTTTGACTTTTTACAATTCTCTTAAAGCTTAATATTATATCCCCACTCCAAAGATATTAAGGGTTAACATTACAAGTTCCTTTATGCAGTTGCCCACTAAGCCTCACTCGTAACTTCTATCACTGGTAAATTTTGTATGGGATTCTAATTTGAACTACGTGCATTCTAACTTCTGAAAGAAAATGTGCATCAAAGGATTTGCTTGGGACTCTTCTGTTCACCGAAAGTTGTTCTTGCATCATTTCTGACATAAAGACATCATAAGATATCGAAGATACTTTCCGTCTTAATTTCTGCATCTGTCAAATGGGGAGAACAGCAAAGCGCGACGGCCATCAAGCCCTTTTGCTGGTTGTCCGTGTTTTCAAGAAGGAAACGAAACGAACAGCAGCAGAGGGATTCTAGGGCATCTTAAGGTCTGCGCTAGCTCTGAGTCTCACGTAATTCTTGAATTTTCCTGCTTAGGTGAGCTCTACGTTGTCCGAAAAGGCTACACTGCTGCCCAGGACGATGAGATCACATTGAAGGAAGGCGAAACCATTGAAGTTATCCATAAACTGCTTGATGGATGGTGGGTGGTCAGGTAAGGTCCCAGGGATGCTCAGCACGAAGGAGTGGTGAAGAGAGCCAGCTGTTGCTGCTGACCTCCAGTTTTTGGTACTTGGAGGTCCCTTCCCTCCCTACATGGAGGTTGCATAGCCACGGATAGGCCTGTCTCGTCTTAAGAGCTTTTGTCTGTTCCTATTCGAATTTCTCTTCTATTCAGGACCATGAGGACTGGAATCTTAGTTTATTGTTTACAGAAAGAGCCATAGCTCTGTGATAGAGCACATCCTTTGCTTGCACAAGATCCCCTGCTCAGATTCCCCGACATTTTCCAGCAGAGTCATGCAAAGGCCTGTGCAAGACTGATGTAGACCAGGGGACGCATCCTGGTAGTCTGCCAGTGTTTTGGGCGACTGCTCTCAGAGTCCCTGGCCATCTGCCATGTTGGCTGCGGCTTATGGAAGTTGGCAGGGGCTTACCCGCCCAACACACCCGGGAGGCACCAGGGTGTCTGTCCCTCATGTAGACCCAAGGTTTGACTTGGAAGGCGGCTTCAGAAACCCATGTGGTTGATTCTATTCAGGGCACTGGAGGGGCTGCGTGGCCGCACCTTGCGCTCTCTGCATTGTGTAGCCTGTGCCCTTCGTTTGTGCGTTCGGCCCGGTATCTGAGAAGGGAAACAACCTCCGCACCATGAGAAACACCCGTGTGCAAGCTCATGCTCAAAGCCACAAACCAGGGCATTCTGGTGCCATCTCCTCCTCTGTGCGCTGTGTAGGCAGTATATATATATCTCATATGACATGGATAATATAATGGCTACGACTGGGTAATGCTCCAGTCTTCAAAGATCATAGGGGCACCAAAAAAGAATTAAAAAGAGAAGGGGTGAAACCACAACGTCTGAACCGGGATGCTCAAGCCCCAGTGCAAGATAAAGGAAACCATTCAGAGGCGAGCCAGGGGGGCATTTCGAAGGTGCACAGTCCATTCAGCTTGGCCAGCAAGAGATCCTTTGGGGTTCAGCCCAATCAGTGTGGTGCATTGTTTAGAGCACGGGACTGGGACTCAGGCGATCTGGGTTCGAGTCCCTGCTCAGCCGTGGAGTTCACTCGGCGACTGGGCCGGTTGCAGACTCTCAGCCCAACCTACCTCGCAGGGTTGTCGTGGCGAGGATCAAATGGAGAGGAGAACCCTGCATGCTGCCTTGCATTCCTTGCAAGAGGAAGAACGGCGGGGTGTGAGTGTTGCTGTTGTTCTGTGCCATCAAATCGTCCTCTAGGCTTTGGCAGGCTTGATGGAGTCTACTCCTCTCTTAGTCCTTGTCGTCGTCTTCTGTCTTCCACTCTTCCTAGCATGGTTGTCTTCTCCATTTGTTATATGTAAATATAATGTAATAATAATAGCAACTTCAATTAGGTGTGCAGGTTTCAAAGTTCTTACAACGAACTTGCAGGGTTATGCGTGGCAAGCTCAGCTTCTCCTACTCCTTTGCCTTAGGTGTAAATAAAGTGCTGTTGTTTCTTGAACTCCAGGAAGGATGAAATCACCGGCTATTACCCATCCATGTATCTGCAGAAAGCAGGGGAAGAAAACCCCACAGGAAACGTTCAGCTGAGGAACAAATCCGCCCCACCTCGAAGGTAGTGTGTGTGTGTGTGTGTGTGTGTGTGTGTGTGTGTGTGAGAGAGAGTGTGTGTTGAGGGCGGGTCATTAGGCTTCCCCAACCTGGACAGTAACCTGCATCGTTTCCATGGCTGGCCAGACCAGCCTTTGGTGAGGGAGGGATTTAAAAACATACCTCAACCCACGCGCGGTGGCTTTTTCGCCATGCCCTCTGCCCGGGGCAGCCTGAACTCATGGTTCTGTTCGAGGGGCGAGGGATCTGCAAGCATTTCCAGAATTTTCTTGCAGAGCGCAAAGGTGACAAACCTGGGACTGGGCCACTCCGGGGCTCTCAGCCTCTTCTAAAGGCTGCGATCTTGGAGGGATGCAAATTTTAACTGCGGCGAGTAGGAGTGGGTGATCCAGTTTAATGCTAAAACCAGAGTTTGTATGATGGGGACGAGCTGTGGCAAGCTTCAGAGTTGCACCAACTTCCCCCCTTCCCGCCCCTGTTCCTTGTTTCAGGAAGAGAAGGTAGATTCTGCCCTCTTTAAAACTAGTTTCACTTCCCTGGGACTTCTGAACCCCGGGAACTGCTGTCGGCAATCAAGGAGTAAAATGTTTGTAGCACATGTTCAAGGCTAGCCATTTTAAAAACAACTTTATTATGGCTTCAGTGTCTGTAACAGCGCAAAGTGCATTGTTTACATTATAGGCTGGATCCAAAATGAGTCATGTTTTAGTCCCGCTGAAATCAACGAGGCTTCCCTTAGTAAGGACGAACATGTCTGAATTATATCAGAGGCTTAAAACACGAGTGGTTTTGTTGTGGGGTTAGGATACCCCATGAAAATCCAGCACCCTTTAAATACCCCGATCTCAGTCAAATAAATCAAAATTTAAAAAAACCCATGAATAATAATTACAAATTCAAAGGCAAAACAATGTACTAGTTAATAATGAAAATTGGGGCAACCAGAGAATGAGAAAATCTTTCCTCAGTGTAATTCTGAAAGCTGATGATCTTTTCCCAGGATAAAGTTAAGAGGAACTTGAAGGACGAATGGCGAGTGCTTGGGAGAGCAAGTGGCCTGAGCCGGGATTTCGTTGCATTTCCTGGAATCTCTGCGAACTTCGCTGGGATGCCAAGAAGGGCCTTTTTTATAGTTTTGCACAGGGCTGGAGAGAAAGCAGTTCTGCAGATGTCTCCCAGCATTCCTGGCCACCCTCCATGCTGCCAGGGGTTTCTGGGAAATGAAGTCTAAAACACGGGGAGGTGGACCTTCTGCCTGCTTTTGGCTTAGCATGGCAGTTCCCAGACTGTGCTCTGTGGAACCCTCACAAAAACTCTCGAAAATCAAATTTAAAACTGTTTTTAAAATGGAACCGCACAAGGCCAACTCTTCCCTTGTTAGTTGGCGTCCACGCAGCCAGCAAGGGAATGCATCACCTCATTTGGTTCTGAGGACTCAATGGTGCTGGGAATAATTGAAAGAATTCCTTTGGGGTATTACCATATAATTGCTTTATTCATTTGCTCTATCTAAAATGTTTTCTCTTTATTTCCAAACCTCCTAAGTTATACAAAGCACTCAGGCAATTGGAATGGATGAAAGAAGGAAAAAAATTAGGGGTTCGCCATGCTTAGTAAACATCAGGGTTGGATTAGGGTTCTGCGGGAGAAAAATGTCTGGAGAAAGGTCCCCAAAAGGTCTGGAAACGGCTGGCTTTGCAGGCTGCGGTTTTTGCAGAACTGTGAGATTTCGGCGCCACGTGCCATGTTGGGAAGCCGTTTCTAGGCTGTAATGAGTCAGGGCTTAATAGAAATGCATAACAGCTTTGATTGTGGCCCCCTTGCTCCTTCTTCAGAGCGGGCCCAGGCACGTGCCCCGGAATCCCGCCCTAATATAAAATATTTGTATTTTATTGTATATATTTTAAAATGTTATTTTAATTTTTTGTTGTAAGCCGCCCCGAGGCTTCGGCGAATGGGGTGGCATAAAAATGTTTAAATAAATAAATAAATAAATAAATAAATAAATAAATAAATAAATAAATAAAGGCACAGCCAGTTGTTCTAATGCCGTGAGGAGTGAAACCCCCACGCCCCAACAGACCCTTTCCTTTTCTCCTTCCAATGCGGCAGGTCCAGCATCCGAAACAGCAAGAGCATCCACAACCAAAGCCGGAAGCAGATCAGCCAGGAGACGTACAGGCGGAACAGCATGAAATATGTCCAGAACCTCAGGAAGCTGAAGAGCAACCTTCTGGGCAAAGCCAGCACCATCAGTAAGTTCCAACCATGCCGACGTCTCCCTGGGCGAGGCAGCTTCTTCCAAGAGAAGGGAGCCAGCTGGCTGCCTCCAGAGCTCTCTCTTGTTGGACATCTCAGCCAGGGCGATGCAGGCAGAGGCTGAACTATTGGTTGATTGATCGGTTTCCCCAAGTTATTTATGATGTTAGAATTTTATTTATTTATTAAAAGCTTTTCTATTCCATCCCCTACGGACGTCTCGGGACAGCTTACAATAAATAAGCAGAATAAAACAAACCCCTCAGCATCTGACCATTAACATACTAAAGCCCCAGTTAAAATCAATTAAGCATCTAAATAGCGGGAAAATAAAAAAGGTCTTCGCCCGACGCCAAAAAGAATAGAGCAACAGCGCCAGGCGAACCTCCCTGGGAAGCATGTTCCACAGTCGGGGCGCCACCACTGAGAAGGCCCTTCTCCGAGTAGCTACCCTCCTGATCTCCTTCAAGGAGGGCTCCCGGAGCAGGGCCTCTGCCTCAGATCCCAAGGGGCGGGGGGCACACAGGGAAGGAGGCGTCCTTCAGGTATCCCGGACCCAAGCCGTTTAGGGCCTCATAGGTCATCACCGGCACCTTAAACTGGGCCCGGACTTCACTGGTCAGCCAGTGTAAGCGGTGGAGGACCGGCGTGATATGCGAGTAGCTGCCAGTCCCGTTAACTTCCTGGCAGCTCCGTTCTGAACCAATTGAAGTATCCAGACCGTCTCCAAGGGCAGCCCCACGTGGAGCGCGCATTCCAACAGTCCAAACAGGAGGTTACCAGAGCATGTGTCACCGTCGCCAGGCAGTGCTCATCCAGCTAAGGGCGCAGCTGATGGACCAGCCGAAGCTGAAGGAAAGCACTCCTCGCCCCCGCTGCCACCTGAGACTCCAGGGACAGCTCTGGGGAGAGGAGCCCCCCAAACTGCACACCCCATCTTTTAGGGGGAGTGCAAATTTATATGTTGCTGAGTAGCCCAACAGGGTTATTGTCAACTGTATGCCCTTCAGAAGCAGCACTGCACAGGTACCAGTTGAACTCCTCAATGAGAACTAGCCTTTTGCCTAGTCTCAAGGATGCACAGGGCAGATGGGTCAGGAAGGAAAGTTTGCAATGCTGGCTTTTTATTTTATTTTATTTATTAAAACATTTCTATGCTGCCCCTTGCCAAGGCCTCGGGGCGGCTTACAACATCGAATTTGTTGTACTTTTCCATGTCCAAGTACTACATAAAAGCAAACCTGGTTTTTCTCTTTATTTTGCAGTTGAGGCGGATGAACCCAAGGCTCAGCCTGCTATTCCTCCGAGACCCAGTAAGGATTTAATTCTGATCCACTGCTCAGAGAGCACAAAAAGCAAAATCAAGTGAGAGAGATGAGATGGTTGATCTCTGTACATCATCCCAAAGGGACTTGCCACTCAGAATATGAATCTCGTGAGGTTCTTTACTTCTGCATTTATTCCAGAATATAGCTGTTCCTCCTTCTGAGCTTCTACCAATGCACATGCTCATGATAAGTTCTCAATCTGTACAAGACTTGATGGGTTGGAATGAATGCGTTGTGTGAGTTCTCCAGCATTGAAAACCTTATGGACTAGTAACACTTTCGGCTCTGGCAAAGACCTACAGGGCACCTACAGTGACTGAGGCGTGGTCGTCCGTGGAAGATGCAAGCGTTCAGAAATCCATGGGATTAGTGCAGAAATGAAGCTAAGATCATATGAATGCTTGTTACATTTATGTTTTATATATTTTTGTCAGTGCACTTGGGTAAATAGATTCCTGGTCTGTGTTTAACTTATATGGCTACACAAGTGTGAATCTATTTGGAAAATAAAGAAGTTGGTGTGAAAATAGCATTTGCAATCATCTTTTAAGCAAGAATTTTTACATGGGCAATTCTTGGTAAATGCCAACTGTGTTGACATAGGGGAAATGCAGTGTAATTCTTAGCTTGCAGTTTTGCCTCCAAGAGAGCTTGCATAAGGCTCTTGACAGAAAGGGAGGGATTCGGAGTGTCTATCGCAACCATTGCTGGAGAAAAGTTTGCAAGCACTGCGAAGGGCAGCAAACTGTTGCTGTGTATTTCCACCCACTGATACACATAGGTTTCCTCCAGTGGGATTCCACATTCCATCTGCCCTATCCTCTTTTCCAGGACTTGAACATCCATAAGTGAAGACATAAACGTTTCCACTTCTGCAAATCTGCGGGTTTCCCAAGAATGCAGAGAAACCTCTTATTTCTCTCACTGGTTCGGTTTCTCTTCGCATGCTCTCCCTGAATTTACAGTTCATCTTTGGATTAACGTCACACACCCCAAAAAGTCCTGTAACCATTTATGAAAAAAATCTGTTCACTTCCTCCCACCTTGCTCTTCTCCTTATTTAGCTGTGCAAGATAATGTCCCTGCCCCGTGGGGGCTGCAATCCAAACAGTGACATGCCACGTCAGCGGGAAAAGTGGGCAGGAAGGTGGAGGCAGGAACGGACAGAGCTGGAATCTGCACGGCCCTGAATGTGACAGAAGCTTGGCTTCCAATTTGTGGGGAGGAAATAAAAACTCGGGTTCATGGGAAAGAGCAAACATTCGAGCCACTGCTGCTTTATTGACCGGTGCCCCAGGACCTGCAGTCACCTGCATCGGGTAGAGGCAAACCCAACTACACGTTTTTAAGACAGGTACAGAGCATTGTATAATCTCCTAGTCACGTGCACATGCACAGGTACAGAGCGGTTAATGACAGATACAGACATTGCAATGCAGATCTGAGGTCATCATATACCGAACAAATACGGAAGATCAGCAGAACATACAACAGGATGACAATATTTCCAATTGCAGTGTATTGACATTTCAGTGGACTGAATTCCAAAATGCCAGACCCATCTCTGGGTCTCTTTAAACACGTGACTGTGTCTGATGGATGAAGCGTTCAGGCAGCCTGGTCTGAGGATTTCACTCAGGTGTGCCTCTGTGGGACTCAGGTGGGCCCCTTCAGAAGCACATGGGCGCCACTGCTTCAGCCCCCAGCAGTGTCCCAGTCCAGCTCAGGACACCACCACCTTCTCACGGCTGCAACAGGGCTAAACGATGACCTGGCCCAGAAAGCTGGCGCTGTCTGCATGCTCAGTGGGTTGCCCCATTTGCTCTGGGACATTCCTTTCCCCATCTCCTGCTCCCGAATTCTTTTACCCGGCTGTGCCAAGAATGAAGCCAGATCTTTCTTCGTGCAAAGCAGAGCTGGCACTGCCTGGGCTCTGTTCCAGCCTGCGATTCCACCTAGGTCAGCGTAGACACAGCGACTCTCCAGCGTTTTTGAACAGGAGCCCCTCCCAGCCACATCTTTCCTAGAGATTATGGGGATGCAATTTGCGGGCCTGGCTTGGAATTCTTGTGTTGCACCGTTTCAGTGGAGAGCAAGGCCAAAATCATCCGCACATCTGGGTGTGAAAGCTGGGCAGGGAGGAAATCCGAGAGGGAGAGAAGGCATGTGTTTGAAATTTGCTTTGCAAAAGTCCTGGGTCAAAAGGCAGAGGAGCGAGTGGGTCCAACAGCAAATCAAGCCAGAACTTGCCCTGGAAGCAAAGTGGAAGAGACTGGATGTGTCCTGCTTTGGGCTCATCATGAGAAGGCGAGATTCTCTGGAGAAAACCAGCGTGCCCAGGAAAGTGGAAGGCAGGAGAAGGAGAAGGAATAGATGGAGGAGGAGGAACAGATGGAGAAGACCAGCTAGGAGATGGACTGACTCCATCAAGCCATATCCCGGAGGTTGCAAGCACTGAGCTTCAAGGACAGGGCCTTTTGGAGGGCTTTCCGTCAGAGGGCTACCAAAAGTCAGAGACAATAACACATTGCAGCAGGAACGCCCTTCTCTTGAACCAGTTTCCTTCTTGCAACTTCCTCGTGTTGCAACAGGAAACATGGTTTAAGAGCTTGTGCCAACGGCTTTGCGGCTTTTTGAAGAGAGGCTTCCAGGCGACGACACACAGGTGTCCTGGCAGGCAGGTGGTGCAGCCTTCGGAAGGACAAGAAGATACCGGGGGTGCCAAAAAATGTATGCACAGTTTAAGAGATGTTAGCTATGTATCACTTTTCGAAGCTGAATTGAATTACGGTAGCAATGTGTAGTGTGACGTTTGCTCAAAAGGTGGCGGTACTTCAGGAAGAAGCTGAGATGGCACACATAGCGATACAAGCAGACACGTTGGTCGGCGGTGCTCAGGCAGAAGTTCGCCATAATCAGAAGTGCCTGGATGCTGCTGGGAACCACTTTGGCACCTCTTGTAATTGCAGAAGTCAAATTGTCTTGTATTCATCTTTTGTTATCAGCATATATATTTGCAATTTCAACAGTTTTCCTGTCTTAAAATTTTTTGGCACCCTCTGCATTTGCATGGAAGTGGAGATCCCAGGTGAGGCTGTACCACACAGAATCCAACAGCGGAGGGGCAGGTGTGGGATGGGGTGGGGGGCGAGCTATGGGGGTCTTTGGAGGAAAGGGGCAGAGCAAGGAAAGCGCTTGATCTGGGGGCAGCCTGGCAGGAGGCCAGGTCTGGGACTGAAGGAGTGCTGGAGCAAGAGGAGACCTGGGCGGTTTGGGCAACCGCATTCGACCAAAAGGGGTGATGACCGAGACGCGACGCTTTGCAGAATGTCAGAAATGCAAAAGAGTAAAACCACGTGCCGGGGGAACTGGAGAGCAGAGACACCACAGGATGTGTGCCCTGAAGAAGAGGGAATTGTGGTTACGGAGGGATCTTCCCGCTCCACATCCCAAGACCCTGAAGCCTATTTTTGTGACTTCCATTTCTCCGTGTGATTCTCATTGGTCGTACGGCAGGCTGGAATTTCCAAGCTACTGAATTTGCGCTGAGTCAGAGGGCAATTTTTAGCTGCCCATCCTAAGATGCAAATGCTCTCTCCCGGGAAAGGCCCATTCTGCGGTTGGTGGCAGGTTCCACGCCAAGTACCCTTTGATAGCACCATTACAGGTCGTGATCCTCCAGAGGTCAGGCCTACAGGTCCCATCAGCCACAGCCATCAGGGGCAATGATGGGGATGATGGGCCTCGTGGGCCTGAGGATTTGATTGCAAGCCCGACAGCTTTCCTTCGATGCTGAATTATTGCGCTGCAGATCATTTCATTTACACCCCACCTTTCCTCCTCTTGCAAGGAGCGCGGTGTAGTTCGCAAGGGTCTGTTCCTCTCCATGTCACCCTCGTAGCAGCCCCGTGAGGTGGGCTCGGCTGAGAGTCGTGGCTGCCTCGAGTGAGCTGCAGTCCCAGAGAGCTTCTTGGTACGAACGGTGGGAGACTTCAGCCCTCAGAACCGACTTTGCCTTGGACTCCAGGGAGATCCGGCCATGGCAGCCCAGTCAGAAAAGGAGACACTTTTGGATTAAAGAATGCCAAGCCCAGAAACTTGTTTGGAGCAGTTAGAACTGAGTGACGTCCTTCTGTTCAGCTACGTAGCTGCCAGCTCATGTTCTTCCAGTGACTATCAAATGTTTGGATTCCTTGCAGATCTACTCTAAATCACCCAGGGACCCAAAATGCATCCAAATCTATCTTCTTAAGCAAGCAATAATAGCCATTCATTCATTCGTATTATATCCCACCTTTTTTCCTTCAAGGAATCCAAAGCAGCTTACACAATCCACCTCCGCTCTTATTTTATCCTCACAAGAGCCCTGTGAGGCAGGTCAAGCTGAGATTCAGTGGCTAGTCCAAAGTCATCCAGCAAGCTCAGTGAGGACTAGAACCTGGACCTCCACTGTCCCAGTGCTCTGTGCCATAGTTCTTGCTAGATGCATCCTCTCTCATGATCTGTCTCATCCCGTTTTGAAGCTCCTAGAACCTGGGGCCACCTTCTGAAAGTCTGAGCATCTTTCCTGCCACTCTCCCAAAGTCACTTCTTTCGTTACCAAAACATCCCTTTCTCTCTAAAGAGCTATGAGCTTCCAAAAGGGCTGGCAACCAGGTAGGAGAGGAAAATCTGTTTTTAAAATAACGCATATATCATCCTAGCAGGGCCAGGATTCCTCTTGGGGTCTGGCAACTTGCAATGCGAAGAACGAGAGGAAAATCAGCCTACAGCGCTACTCCATCATATTCCACGAGGGGCTTGGTCTATGCAACGGGCATATACTTATTACTTTATCGGGGCTATATTGGCGGGGAAGTCTGTAAGGAGTCTGTGATATCAATTCGATATTAATCTGATAGCGCATCATTGTGTTAATTATAATAACTGTTTCGTGTTTAATTATAAGAATTGTTCCGTTTTTATTTCTTCAAAAAGTGTTCGTTCAGCAATGCAGTTCTGCACATGTCTACTCATATGTAAATCCCGTTGCGCAACATGGAGCTTACTCCCAGGAAAACGGGCATAATTTTGCAGCGTCTTACCTCCCGCAGCATCGCTAGCAAAATGCCTCCAGCACGTGCCTCCGGGGTCCAGCCCAGCCCACGTGACATGCCACTAGCGAATGAGAAGCGGGCAGAGGGACGGAGGCGCCCGGCTCTTGCCTATCGAGTCATGGCCGCCGCGGGCAGGTCGCCTGTGCGCCTGCGCACAGCAGCCGGCCGCGTTACGCCGAATGGGTAGGGGTCACGGTGCCGGGGGCAGTCGGACTGCGCCTGCGCCTGCGTGCAGGAAGCGGAAGTTCGGAAGGGGAAAGGGGGGGCAAGATGGCGCCGGCCGGGAGGCGAGGGGCGCCGTGGTGAGGTGGCCGGCCGCGGCGTCATGGGGCGGGTGGGGCCGTTGCTGGCGAGGCCGGCCGTGGGGGCGCTCTCGCTCCGCCCGAGCGGGCTGCTGGAAGGCGCCCTGCGTCTGCTTCCCTGCCGCGGCTCGCCGGGGGACCCTCGCCGGGCCTCCCCGAGCGCCCCGCGGAGGCTTCTTTTGGAGGCGCCGTCCAGAGGCCTGGCCGAGGCAGCCGGGAAGAGCACGGCCAGGGCCATCCGGGAAGCCGACGAGGCCGCCCCCATCGTCCAGTACGTGGGCGCGCAGGCCAAGAGAAAGGACCGTGTGTTTGTCTGGGGCTTCTCTTACTCGGGGGCGCTGGGCATCCCCAGCTTCGTTGTCCCGGATGCTGCCTGGAAGAAGCGGAGGAGGGTCCAGGCCACGCCGTACCGCCTGGAACTGGAGGAGAAGGTGAGGGGCAAAGGACGTGCTTGCCGTCTGCCTGATGTTCGTGTGTAGGCTCTACTGTAGCCGCGGCAGCAACACCATCTACAAGAGGGAAGCGGCAGTGGACCGGGAGAACCCAAAGAGCGGGGAAATACAGAAAGCGGTTGGTTTTGGGGTTTTTTGGGAGGTGGGGAGCAGCCTAGGACCACTGTGCTGTGGCCTCCCAACGTAGTCTGGGCCCTTCAGAGCCCTGGCCCCGAGAATCTGTGAGCTGGAACTTGGAGCGGCCAAATAGGGGCATCCCAGGATGAGGATGCTTACTGGTTCCTCTTGGTGCCACAGGCTCGGTCCCTCCTCCTCTTTGGTGCTAAGTCGGGATGGCTGCAAGTAGCTGCCTAGAATAAATACATGGGGCAGGGTGGAGAATGCTGCCGTCCTGCTCCGCTCCATGTATTGCGTGTATGTGAGCCTTGGAGCTTACACTGAGAGTGCAGAGGCATTGGATTGTGCCCCAGGACAGCTCTGTGTATGGATATCCTGAAATAGGCACTGAACATGTGCAGTGTGAGCACAGAAGTGGGCTGAGCTTTGAGGGGAAATGGAAAGCTACAGGAAAGAAGGAATCCTGTATAGCAGCAGCTGCCCTGTACCCACCCCATCATTTTCTTAAACTGCTCTGTAATACAGTTTGCAAATTAAAGGGGCCCACTGCCTAGAAAGCATTGGTTTGGGGCAGCCGGATGAAACAGTTAAGGGGGGGTTAGGATTGTGGAGACCCCTGTTCAAATCCTCATTTGGGCATGAAAGTAGAGAGACAATTCCTGCCCATAGCACTTTGGAGGAAGGGCAGGACAGAAGCGTAATGACCTGGTAGCCAAATATTTGCTTTTTAAGGGGAAAAATGCTTTTATGCTCTTTTTCTGCATTTTCATGCACTCAGGACTGGTTTAGATGGACTTGTGTTACCCTGGGAAGTGTGCAGCTCGTTTGCATGGTGGACAGGGCCTTATAGGGCCCTGGTAGAGGGTGTGCGGACTGGGCAAGCTGAAAAGGTCTGCCTGGTACTCGGAAAACACCCAAGGGCTGGGGCAGCTTGCTGCTAGCTTTGGAGAAGGCCAAGAGCAGGTTAGTGTTGACAGGTCAGACCTGAGGAGGGCTGGTGGAGCGTAGGTGGAGCACCCCACTTCTCTTTCAGCCTCACTCACCTGCAAGAAGCTCTTGATCGCTTGTGGTCACCAGGCAATGCATAAATGAAAGGCTGGATTGCAGAATGGTTGGGAATATTGTGCATTTGCATGAGAGGCAGTGGCAGCGGCACTGGCAGGGCGGTGGAGAGCGAGAGGAAGAATTGCGTGCAAGGCAAGAAGCTCCTCTGGCAAGGAAGGCAGAAGGCTGTGGGTTCAGTCCTTAGACTCTTCAGAGAAGGGCTGGAAGAGAGCGTCTTGCTCCCGGCTCAGGGAAGATGCAGCCAGTCAGAGCAGACAACGCTGGTTTGGCCGAGTGCTACATTCATATATTTTAATACTGATGAATATGGGGAGAACATTGTAGGAGTAATTCCTTCCATTCTGTGCAATATGGAGTCTTTCTATTGTCACCTAAAATGGTACTTATTCCCTGCCTGGCTGTAATCAATCCTTCAGTGAAAACTTGCTAGTGAAACCCCCTCCCCCACCCCTCGTGGCCCTTCCATGGAACGCTGTCTTGATTCATAACTGTGCCACTCCTGCATCTTACCTATATATCTTTCGAAAGCAGATGTGGTTTGATTTTAAATTTTCTACATCTGCTGCTGTTCATCTTATGTGAAATGTACAGTGATGTCTGAGCTGAGGCAGATCTTAGTAGATGGTAATTCGGGAGTGAACTGGTCTCTTCTTAGGAAAGATGAGGCACAGGAAGCACTGTGTCAAAGCTCTCCCTGTGCAACCGTCTCCAGATGCGTTGGGCTTCAAACTGTCCGATTGCTGGCGGTTGTACTATGCCGTGAGAAAGTCTGCCAAGCCGACTGGTGGAGTTTGTCCCTCTCTTCACCCGTGCCCCGCGTGCTTGTGATGGTGATGGAGAATGAGCCTCCCTCCCTCTGCAGCTGGCATGCAGCTGGACTGTGTGGAGGCAGGGCCACCGTCTCCCCTCCCTCTTCCTCCACATGTCTAGTCACTCGGCTGCAAGGGGCCCAGTTGGACGTGGCTCCCAAGACTGGTTCACCTTTTCCGTTCCTCCCCAGGTTGCAAGCGCTCTTTGTGCTCCTCCTCATCTCTCCCTCTCCCCCCTTTCATCAGTGCTTCACCAGAGCCAATATCTGCTTCTGTCTTGCTTTGAAAGATCTCATCTGTTGCCTGCGGCTACGGATTCACACTCCTGTCCTCCAGAAAGACTGATCTCACCAAGGTCTGGGGCACGGGCCTGAACACCGATTCCCAAATCGGATATCACCAGAGCAGGAAAGACCGGAGTATGTATGCAAAGGGTTGCTGAGGCTTGTACCTTTTGCAACACTGTTTCTTTTAAACCCAGGCTTATTGTATTGTATTGTATTGTTATTTTATTTTAAACAGGAGTAAGCTTCTTTTATTGGTATGCTTAAATGGCTTTTGGTCATATTGGTGTACAAAAAAGACTAACTCTGAAAACGTACATATAAATGAAAACAGCTCCTGGAAGGGGAGGAAAAGTGTCCACAGATTTAAAATTGCAGCTAAAACGGTGGGCAGGGGTGGGGATCACCTGGTGTCAGACAAAGACCGTTCTTTGGGTTCCAGGCACTCCCAGCATTCTGGGAGTCCCACCACGGTGATTGACTGTACTCTGTGTGTACTGTGTAAAGGACTCATGGATATATTCTTACGCAATGTGTTTCTCTTTTGTTACATGTACAACAAAGCTAAAGGCTACCACTATGTCTTGGAGCCCAGCCCTGTCCCACTGCCCCTGGACAGGCCTCAGCAGACTCGGGTTTTGCAGGTATCCTGTGGGAGAGCACATTCCTTGGTGCTGACGGATGCCGAAGGAGGTAATGGCAGTAGCCCTGTATTGACACGCACGGAGTAGGCATGTCATGAGCGGAGCCGGCTGGAGCCGGGGGTCAGACTAGATGGCCCAGGAGGCCCCTTCTGACTCGCTCTGATTCTGTCTTCAGCTTCAGGAAAGCTGCTTTGCAGTACTGACTTTTGGGCAGCTGGAGTTTCTGTGTGCATGCGTTTTTAGGCCTGCTCTTGCTTTTCCCACACGGCCGGCCCCATGAATTGACTCCGCACATTGCTGTTAGAGATGCTTGCCTGCTGCTGTGCAATCCCGTCTTTTCAACCAGCAACACGTTCTCTTCCGTGTTTGCATTATGGGCAAATGGGGGGAGGTGGTCAGGTGGTGGATGTCCAAAGGAGGAGCCTCTTACCCTGAACCACGTGGCCCGGGAGGTGCTTGGTGCTTGTCTGATGGCATCCCTTGCCTTTGTTTCAGTCTTCAGCATGGGCAACAACTCCTACGGGCAGTGTGGCCGAAAAGTGATCGAAGGTGAAATTTACAGGTGAGTCCATCTTTAGTTTCCTCTAATGTACCTCCAGAGCAGGTTTGCCAAACTTGAAAGGAGTCACAGGGTGGCTGTGCCTGGCTTAGGTAGCTTCCACGCCATTCAGATGTTTAGTGGGGAAAAGCAGGGCTAATCTGGTTCCTTTGCCTTGACATTTACTACTTCCACCACATTTGCTTGCAGGAGGTGCTCTCAAACCTCTTCTGGTCAACCAAGCCACCAGCTACCAGTTCCTTGACCTCGCAAGAGCCTAGTGCAGGAGTGGTGAACCTGTGGCACGCATGCCACAAAATCGCCCTCTTCTCAGTGGAACTTGAGCCCTGTATTAGGGTGTGGGGTGTGCACCAGGGTAGGGTTAGGGTTAGACAACTGAGGTGTCCTGGCAGGATTTGGATGGTTTGAATGTGTTTAGAATGGGCAGAAATGTTGAGCTGTGCCGAACAAGCTACTCAAGGAAGCCTTTTTCAAAATCGCACTCTTTTCAATGGTATTTTAGCCCTATATTAGGGTTAGGGGAGTGCACCAGGGTAGGCTTAGGCCAGTGGTGGCGAAGAGCCCTCTCTATCGGCACGCGAGCCCAGTCGCCCCAGCATCTCCCCAGCAGCCGAGCATTGGATAACAGTGCACATAGGGGCCATGCGCATGCTCGGAAAGGAGTAGCGGTACCAGGCAATGACGTTATGAGCTGCAACTCATTAGCCCCGACTCGTCCGAGCTTTCGCATGGCTTGTCAGTGTGCTGCCAGTTACATACATACATACATACATACATATATATATATATATATATATGTTCTTGGACTGGATATTTTCAGGTTTTATTGCAGTGTTGGCACTTTGCGATAAATACGTGGGTTCTGGGTTGCAGTTTGGGCACCCAAGTCTCTAAAAGGTTCGCCATCACTGGCCTAGTGATAAGCCAATATTTAAAATGCCAGAATGTAATGCAGAAAGGTGGTGTGTAAAATGTAGGGGGTAAAACTTTTTAAAATGCTGTCAGAATTGAGTTTGGCACCTCTCAGTTCTTTTCCTTGGTGAGGGTGGAGGAGAGCCAGTGGGAGCACGTTCCTGCTGACTTATTCTGCTTTCTTGTTATGTTCTTTTCCGGGCAAAATGCAGTGAGAGCCAGCTAATTAACAGGTTGCAAGGTTTTGAAGACCGAGTTGTCCAGGTGAGTAACTCCTCTTGAATTCCTATGATTCCTGGTGTGCTGCTTCTGGCCGCGTCGGATCGATTTTCAGGTGAACCTTCAAATTGGGAGCGGTCTTAGATCATGTCAGGCTGGGCTCTCAGGCTGAGCCTTTTCCAGCCCTGTCTGGAGCTTTCTGGAATTGGGACTTCTTACATGAACGGCGGCTGCTCACGCTGAGCTCTGCAGCGTCCCAAACCAGTGATACAAAATGGCTTTCCAGGAAGGCGCCCCTGCCTTGCCAAAGGCAATTCGTTCAGAGGGTCTTGTGGGGTCTAAAGAACCGGCAGCACGTCTTTTGGGGCCAAGCCGCTTGAGCTGCGTGCAGCATTGAAGCTACTGCAGCCCATAGTCCTAGAGCTGTAACGGGGGAACGGATGAGCTAACCCCCCACCCTTGCCAGACGGTTTTCCTCACAGCAACCCTTTGGGGTCGTTCAGGCTGAGAGGGAGGCTGACCAGGGAGCTTCCCAGCCGAGGAGGCGAGCTGATCCCACGCGTTCCTGGTCTCATTCCGAACTCCCTACCCTAGTGTCCTGCAAGAGTGGTGGACAACAACCCCTGTCATTCCTGACCACTGACTGGCCCTGGAGGGGACAGTTGTCGACACATCTGAAGGGCATGAGGCTTTCACATGTGGAAACGTCCGTGTGCAAGGAGCGCAGGAGTAACTCAAGCCGGGAGAAGGCTCGGCTTTTCAGGACGGGTTGTGTCTCGATTGATTTGCTGCCCAGCTGGCCAGTGTCCTCAGGGGATCGTTTCATGATATCCCGCTCCTGCTTGCCTTTTTCCCCCGTAGGTTGCCTGTGGGCAGGATCACAGCCTTTTTAGGACTGAGAGAGGAGAGCTCTACTCTTGCGGGTGGGGAGCTGATGGCCAGACAGGTAGGCGGATCCCAGGGGGTTGAGAGTGGGGGGGCCCTGGTTCTTTGTCACAGAAACTAGGGGTGCTGCAGAAGCATCTCTCCCTCACCCCCCATGGGTTTTTTCCATGACTCTCCATCTCTAGCAGGCAGTGAGGAGATGGAAGGAAGGTGTGTGTGGTGGTTTTCTTTGGCAAATGCCTCAGCAGGGGCGTGGGAGAGGGCTGCCAAGGTATATGGCCAACTAGATAGTGGGAGGTCAGCCTCCCTCTCCCATAATAGGAGATCCCAAAGGACTCAGCCCCCCTCCCCCGGAGGAGTGTGAGACACCAGGGTGATCGCTGACTGTGAGTCCCAATGGCCGGTTGCCTCCGTACACCTGCAGCAGGAGGCAGGAGGGTCCATCCTGCGGGCTCCCAGCTTGCCACCTGGTTCCCACCCCCCACCCATGTGGGGAATTAGAGCAGTGAGGCCTCTGGTCACACCCAGCTCTTCTATCGGCAACCGCCCGGCCACTTCTGTCCGGCATCTTGTTACGCATGCGATGGAAGGATGAGAAGAACAAAGGGATATGGCTCCTCCCTGCGAAAAGCATCTGGGGACCGTAAAGGGGCCCAAGTCCCCTTCCCAGGAGCATGGGGTCATCTTGGGCTACAGCGTCCCAGGGTGCTGTCTCCGCTTAAGAACATTCACTCCTGGCTGGCGGAGAAAAAGCCTGCCAAATACTGTTGGTTTCTCGAGTTGTAAGCACCCTTCAGATGAGTTCTCGGCACACCTTATGAAGTGTGTGTGTGTGTGTACGTACTAAACAATTAATGGCTTTGTGGGGCTGGCGGCCGAGGGGAGTGGCTGGGTGGACAGGAAGCTGCAGTCTTTCTCCTTCCCGAAAGGTCGACACTTAATACTGCTGCACAACTCTTGAGAGGTGCTCATTTGCGACTTCTCCACGGAGTTCGAGGCCGTGTCCACAGCCCTTCTGCTCCTGTTCGGTGCTTGCAGCAGCTCGGTGAGGGACTGGCCCCAAGTCACTGGGAACGTGCTTCATGCGAGTGGGGGCTTGGGAGAGGCGCCTTGAGGTCCAGGTCTGTGCTGTAGCCACTACACCGCCCTGCCCTCCCGAGTCCCCAGAGGACGTTCAGCAGTGATCCTTATCTGCAGCCGTCTCTGCTTCACTGTCGAGATATGTGAAGGTGTGTTTTGCTCCCTTTCGAAACCAGGCCTGGGCCATTACGAGATCTCCTGCACCCCCACAAGAGTGGGCGGCGACATTGCCGGCGTCCGCCTCAGCCAGGTGACCAGCTGCGGGGATTGCTGCCTCGCCGTGTCTGAGGACGGGGACCTCTTTGGCTGGGGGAACTCGGAATACCTGCAGCTGGCTTCGGTCACGGAGTCGACCCAGGTTAGGACAGCTAGGGTGGGATTCATGTCTCCGCAACACGTGAGCATCCCGTGCAGCGCAGGGGGCTGCCTCTGCCTGTCCCGAGAGAGCGGAACGAGGCTCTTCCATTCGTTATTAGTTTTAGTGTCGGGCCAGCAAAGGGGGTTGGGGGACTTTCTGCTTTGGGTACCCAAATGACTTGCCTTGGGCTGGCCTTGCAGCTTCGGCTGGTGGGATCTCGCTTGCCTGTGAGACTCTCGTAACCGGGAGGATTAAGTGAGGGGTCCAGATGAAGTCAGTTTAGGGTGGCACATTGAGAAGGCTGGGACTTACTCCTGACCCATTTAAGTCCCGTTCCTGTCAAGGCTCGGGGCCTTGGGCTTGATGTCATCCAAGTGGTTCGAAAAAGAACTGCACCCCGGCAGGGGCCAGATGTCCAGGTAGGCTTGTCAACCACCCCCCGGGCCTCTCGGTGCTGTTGCTTAATGCCAGGTCGGTCCATAATAAATCATCACTCATCCACGATTTGATCATGGATGAGGGGGCCGACCTGGCTTGCATCACAGAGACCTGGGTGGGTGGGTGGGGGATGTCTCCCTCTCTCAACTGTGCCCGCCTGGGTGTCTGGTCGAGCACCGACCACGCCTGGAGGCGGGGGGGGGGGTCGCTTTGGTTTACTGAGCCTCTGTTTTCCTCACGGGGCTTCCTGTTCTCTCGAGGCCAGGTCTAGAATGCCCCCACTTGGTGTTGGGCGACCGAGACAGATTGAGGATTCTGTTGGTGTACCATGCACCCTTCTGCGCAACACACTCCCTGCCTGAGCTGATGGAGATCATCTTGGATCTGGTGTTGAGGACTCCCAGGATGATGGTCCTGGGGGACTTCAATCTCCACGCCGAGATGGTTCTGATGGTTCTTGGCTTCCATGACAGGCATGGGGCTGTATCAACATGTCACTGGCCTGACCCATGAATGTGGACACATTCTGGACCTGGTTTTCTTGACGGGGCAGGAAGAGGGGGATCTGAGGATGAGGAATTTATATCAGACACCCCTGTCATGGTCAGATCACTTCCTTATGAGGTTTGAGCTTGAAAGCGGCCTTTTCCTCTGTAAAGGTGCGAACCTGATTGTGCTGGTCCGCACCCAGAGCCGGATGGATCCGGATGGATTCCTGAAGGCCTTGGGGGAATTCCCAGTTGATAAGGCTGGTGCTTCTGTCGATGCCTTGGTCGAATTGTGGAATGGGGAAATGACTAGGGCTATTGACACGATCGCTCCTAAGTGTCCTCTCCCACCTGGCAGAGCCCATTCATCCCCCTGGTATACACCTGAACTATGGGCGATGAAGCGGGTTGGGAGACGTCTAGAGCGTAGGTGGAGGAAATCACGGGATGACTCTGACCGAACCCACTAGAGAGCTCATTATTGAGCCTATGCTGTGGCGGTGAGGGTGGTGAAAAAGAAATTCTTCTCCGCTTCCATTGCCTCCTCACAATGCCGTCCGGCGGAGCTTTTTCGGGTGGTACAAGGGCTGGTTCATCCGGGCCCCAAGAAAGACTCTGTACCACCCTTGACGGCCCACTGTGATGACTTTGCCAAGCATTTCAGGGAGAAAATCGCTCAGATTTGTCACGAGCTGGACTCCACTAGTGACTCAGAACCTCCTGAGGAGGTGCCAATGTTGCCGTCTGGTCCAAAATTGATGGATGAGTTTCAGTTGTTGCGGCCTGATGATGTGGACAAGGTGCTTAGACAAGTACGCCCTACCACCTGCTTACTAGACCCATGCCCATCTTGGCTACTCAAGAAAGCCAAGGACGCGATTGGGACCTGGATCCTGGAGGTTGTCAACGCCTCTCTGAGGGATGGCCAGGTACCTGCCCCTTTAAAGGAGGCGGTAGTCCGGCCAGTCCTAAAGAAGGCATCCCTGGATCCAGAGATGGCCACCAATTATAGACCTGTGGCCAACATCCCGTTTCTGGGCAAGGTGTTAGAGCAGGTGGTGGTGGGACAACTTCAAGCTCTCTTGGATGAAGCTGATTATCTGGACCCATTTCAGTCCAGCTTCAGACCCGAGTACGGTACTGAATCTGCCTTGGTCGACCTGTGCAGGGAGAGAGACAGGGGAGTGCGTCCCTGTTGGTCCTCCTTGACCTCTCAGCGGCTTTCGATACCATCGACCATGGTATCCTTCTGGATAGACTAGTGGGATTGGGAGTAGGGGACACTGCTTTGCAGTGGTTCCGCTCCTATCTCAATGGCCGATTCCAGAAGGTGGTGCTGGGGAGTTCTGCTATGTCAGGGAGTTCCGCAGGGGTCCATTTTGTCCCCCCTTGCTATTCAATATCTACATGAAAGCGCTGGGAGAGGTCATTAGGAAGTGTGGGCTGTGGAATCATCAGTACGCTGATGATACCCAGCTCTACCTCTCGTTTTCCACCAATCCAGGTGAGGCAGTGGCTGTACTGAACTGGTGCCTGGCCGAGGTAATGGGCTGGATGAGGGCCAATAAACTGAAGCTCAATCCAGACAAGACAGAGGTCCTGTTGGTAGGTGGGTCGGGCTTTGGGGTAGGGGACCTGGACCTTGTCCTGAATGGGGATGCACTCCCTCTTAGGGACAGGGTCTGCAGCTTGGGAGTGCTCCTCAACCCAGAGCTCTCGTTAGAAGCTCAGGTGGCGAGGAGCGCTTTCCTTCAGCTTCGGCTGATCCATCAGCTGCATCCCTACCTGGAGAACGACTGCCTGGCAACAGTAACACACGCATTGGTCACTTCCCGATTAGACTTCTGTAATGCGCTCTATGTGGGGCTGCCCTTGAAGATGGTCCGGATACTTCAGATGGTGCAAAACAGCTGCCAGGTTGCTGACAGGGACTGGGCGTTGTGCTCACATAACTCCAGTCCTCCATCAGCTTCACTGGCTCCCCATTGAAGTCCGGGCCCAATTCAAGGTGTTGGTTATCACCTATAAAGCTCTTAACAACTTGGGACCTGGTTATCTAAAGGAGTGCTTGCGTCCATATATGCCCTCCCGCCCCCTGAGATCGGCAGCAGAGGCCCTTCTCCGGGAACCCTCCGCGAAAGATATTAGAAGGGTGAGTACCTGGAGGAGGGCCTTTGTTTGGTGGCGCCCCACCTATGGAATGCGCTCCCTAGAGAGGTCCGCCTGGCACCGTCGTTATTTATTTTTCGACGCCAGGCCAAGACCTTTTTATTTAAATGTTATTTTAATTGTTGATTGTATTTATTGATTTTATATCTGGGCCGAGATGTTTCTAGATTTTTAAGGTAATTGTATGATTGTTTATTTGTTTTGGAAGCCGTCCCGAGGCTTTTTGCAAATGGGACGGCATATAAATGTTCCAAACAAACAAACAAAACAAAACAAAAATGTCAGAGCAGCCCCCAAGGATCACCCTGGCCAGAGGCATGGAAAGGAATCCAGCAGCAACCAAGCCACAACTGAGAGAAGCTGCTCGGCCTGCGCCTTAGGAGGTGGAAGGCTGAGCTTGAAGGCTTGGTGGACGGGGAATGGCTCTTCGGTGCTGGCTGAAGGAAAGGCCAGCCAGGATAGGAGCTGGAAGACGTGCTGTTGGAACAGCAGTGCAGAGAGTGAGACCCCCGAGTGACTGGCGGGGCCTGTTGACCAGGGATCTTGGTAGCGCCGTCAGCCATGACCCCTGCACTTCAAACAAAAAAGGACAAAGAATCCATGCAAGTGGAGGTGATCGCTTTGTTGGATTCTGCAAACCGCTTCCCTGGCATGGCCGTCAAGATTGAGGGTTTGAATTTTTTAAGTCAAGCTCTGAATTGTTATGCTCCTTTGTTTTTGCTGCTTCAGACTCAAATGTGGAACTTGTCCTCTTGAACGTCTGAAAGGAAATGGTGTGTTGGCCACCTCCCAAATTTCTGTCTTCGGCAGGTCAATGTGCCACGACACCTGCCCTTTCAGGTTGGGAAAGTGAAGGAAGCGGCCTGTGGAGGCACCATCAGCGCTGTCGTAAATGGTGAGCCATTTCTAGCCCAGCTTCTCCCAAGTTTGGGTTCTGTCTTGATTTGCAAATGGGTGGGGGCAAATGGTGGTGGTGCCTGTATGGACACAGACCGATGAAGCCAGTATTGGGACGGTTGGTCGAGAGGTCATTTCAGTGCACGTGGCGAGTCAGCCCGAGGGGGCTTCCACTACCCAAGCAGGGAGGAGTGTTGGCTGCAGCCTCGCAAACCTGGCGTGCCCCCCAGACCCTTTGCCGGGGTTCTGGGCTGGTTTTGTGTCGCAGACCCTGTACTCCTGTGCTGCATTCTAGAGATGGCCTTGGATTTTGTGTGTCAACTTTGCCATGTTCCTGCCAGACCTATGCCAAAATATTTTGTCAGTTTTATGCCAAACCCCCCTTGTATGTGGAAAATAAGCAGTCAGGAAGAAAGTTCGGTTAGAAATCTCTCCCTGACACTCTAGTCTTCCTTGTTTTCCTGCATGAGGGCTTACCTATTCCAGCGTTTTTCCTAGACCCGCAAAATAAAATCCCTCTCTAGAAAAATAGCACACTGGGGAAGTCTTCCTTTTTCGTTTGCGGGAACTTTGAGTGTTTCTGGTCTTGCTTGGGACCCATCTGCTTGAAGAACGACCTTCTCCCATATTGCTTTGGCCACACACGAGATCTGCTGCAGGGTCTGTCTCAGGTTTGACGTGCATGAGGGCTTGGTGGTCATCCCAAGCCCTGTGAAGTTCCCTTCCCATGGACCGGTGCCTCTCCCCTAAAAGCGTCAGTGCTTAAAAGCCATGTAAATACTGTGCAGTTGACTTGTGAGTCCCAGGCAGATTCTTGATCTCCTCTAAGCTTGCTGGCTGTTACGGCCTGTTGCTGACCTTGCTCTCGTCTGAGTGCTCCTGCAAAACATCTAAAAATAGCATAAATAAAGCAAGACACAGGCTAACCACCATGGGGAAGACAGGGCGCTGTTTCTGCCCGCCAGTGGCTGTCTGGGATGGGCCGGAAGGGGCCGCCCCTTTCTCTTTTTACACATCTTAATCTAGCCTTCCCAAGTGTGGCCGGCTGCGGTTCCCGTCACCCCATTCCTGCTGGCAGGAATGATGGGATTGTTGCCCCTCTAGTCAAAAGGCTGGGGGGGGGGGGGGTTTCAGCAACCGTAATGTCCAGCTGGCAAAGTTTTACTTGTGGTGGCAGCTGAATTCTCTCCTTTCCAGCGGACAGGGGACGAGGCTAAGTGGGGGGTACTTGCCTCTGACAGATAAAATGTTCAGCTGTGAGGTCTTGCTGGCTGCACGTGTGCGAAGGACGGGACGTGTCCTTGCTAAAGCCACCTTTTTCATCCGTTCCAGAGGAGGGCCACGTGTTTGTGTGGGGCTACGGCATCCTCGGAAAAGGCCCAAAGCTGATGGAAACGGCCACCCCCGAGATGATCCCGCCCACCCTCTTTGGCTTGTCCGACCTCAGCCCGGATGTCCACGTGGTTCGGATCCGCTGTGGGCTCAGCCAGTTTGCTGCTATCACTAGTAAGTGCCTGGCGGTTTTAGGTCCCTCTGGGGTCCAGGAGACTCGCAAGGAAGCCGGTATAGAATTGCAGCTGCCGTCTTACCACCCTATGGGAACTTTTCTCCCTGCCTTGTTCCAAAGTCTGAGGACGAGGCAGAAGCTTCCCAGCGCCGGGTTCCGTGTTTCCTACGATGGAAGATCCCTCTCTAATCCCGCCGTCGTATTTGTGGCAGCTCTCTGTGGGTCCCAATTGCTCTTTGTTAGCACCGCCTTCTGGCAGTGGCCGGAATGGAAGCCGTTTGCTCAGAACCTCATGTCGGCCTCCTCTCGTGTCTCAGCCTGGCTGGCCGAAAACTGGGGGTTGGTCTGTGAGGCCTGAGCACTTGGAATCCTCACCAACATTTAACTGTGCAGGCACCCAGCGTGCCAGTGAGCAAAGGCTCTTGAGTGGAGATGGGGAACGTGCAAATGAACCACATCTGGGGGGCCGCGACTCCCATGCATATTGGCTAAGGCTGATGGGAGTTGTAGTCCAACTGCATCACGGTGGGGTTCATGCTGTGCATGTGCAGGGGCAAGGGGAGGCTGGAAAGAAGCGCTGGTGTGTGCCGAGGAGGCCGAGGGAAGGATGGGAGTAGCCCAAGAATCTGGTGCAGTGAGGTATGGCTTTGATGAGCCAAGCCGGACTCTGTAAAGTGGAAAGCGGAAGAGGAGGGCTCGGAACGCTTTCACGGGCAGGACAAATGTGGTGCATGCTGCCTCCAGCAAGCCGGATACCCAGGGACTCCCTGCAGGGGGCAGCAAAGCAGCAGGAAGTGGGAACTTTGGTGTGTCGCTTCTCTCTTCCCTTAATGGTACAGACAAGCTTTTACAAGCTTAAAACAAAAGAACAACACGTCTGTTAGCATTGTGGTGAATGTTCTTTGGCTCTGTTTCCCAGGAAAGCCGGTCAGTGGCTAAGATCTGAGCGGACAGCAGGCGGAGGGGACAGACAGGCAAGAAGGTTCTGTGCAGGGCGGAAGGGGCTGGGGTCGGGGTTTAGTAGAGGGCACCTCGAAGCAGCAGAACGAACGGATTTAGAATTTACCCTGTGCCCAGCGTTGCCTGCAGGAGGTGCCCTGAGTGACGGTGTGATGCCTCTTGCCCGTTTGCAGACAGAGGAGAGCTCTTCGCGTGGGGCAAGAATGTGCGGGGGTGCTTGGGAATCGGCCGAATGGAAGATCAATACTTCCCGTGGAGGGTGAGTAGTCCCCGTGGCCCCCAGCTGGGCGGCGCCACTAGCCTCGACGATCGGAGTACCTCGCCTGCAACCGGACGTCACACTGCGGGTGGGTTAGCCAGGGGTGAATGAGCTGAGCCTTCCTCCGCGCGTCCACACTTCTGTTCCCTGCCTCCTCCTCCTCCTCTGTCACGGGCGGGAGCTGCCCTTCTGCTTTGCATTAATCACAGCCTGTCCTGTCATCCCGCTGTGTCTCTTAACTTTGTCCAGACCCAAGCAAGCCCACTTGGAAGTGACCCTCTTTGAAATCCTCTCCCTGACCTGTGTTTGATCTTAAATATGGTTACTTTCACACTCCACCTGGCACTGGCATCAAAGAAAGAGACAGGGTGGAATGCCCCGCCATGCCAAACCACAGTTTAGTGTGACATCCGCATCTAGCAACCGTGGGCAAGGATTTCGCCAGCTCCAGGATTGTAACGTGGGGGCCTTATATGATTCTGGGAGCATCACAGTTCACACGGAATCCTCAGGAAGGAATATTCATGGCCATGTTGCAAGTCAACACCTTGGAGGTCCCTTCCCCGTGAAATATTCTGAAACCGCTTCCCAAAGAACTCTGTTTCACACCTTCATTGCACCTCTTAGTAAGGGCTTTGATATTTTTGTATCGCAGACTGCCCAGAGAGCTCTGGCAAAGGGGTGATACAGAAAGGGTGGTGAAAAGGAAAAGAGCCAGGTTGTTAACATTGGGAGTTGCCTGCCCAAAGACGTGCGAATGACTTTACAAAGGTGTTAGACGTGCCGAGGAGGCGGGTTCCACCAGTCATGATGTCCAGAGGCAGCTCCCGGGCAGGAATCAACGTGCCTTTGAAAACCGGGTGCCGGGAACCACTGAGAAGGACGACCGTCTCTCTCCTGCCCTTTTGGCAGGCCTTCCAGGGCTGGGCCGCTCGAAGAAACAGATGCCGAGTTCGTTAGACCTTCAGCCTAACCTAGCAGGGCTCTTAGCTCGGCTCCAAAGTCGGGCTACCTTTGCCGGCCAGGATTCCGCAGGTAGTTGGGCTTCATGTGACTGTTTTGGGGGGTCCAGCAGCCAATTGGATATCACTGAGCTATGAGCTCCCCCTCCCCCACCCGCAAATAACATTGAAGATCACCGCTTTTCACCAGTGGATGCCTATTTTTGGCAGGAATGCTACTTAGTGGGGTTTTCCAGTTAAGCCCTGAACAGGAGGCATGGCGTGGATGGGGCCTTGGATTCAGCACCCAGCAGCCCCGTCTCATTTCCGCGGGAATGCTGCCTGCCACCAGAGCGGATGCTTGGAAAATCCACAGGGCCCTTGCTAAGGGAGGGCAAGATCCCGTGGACTTGGCCTAGTTCCGAATGGGAGTGACAGATGGAGAGAGACAGCGGGCTCCTCCTGACGGGCGTTTTTCACCTCTGGCCTCGGCAGGGGAGCCAAGAAATAGGTCAGGAAGCTGCCAAGTCAAGCCAAGCATCATTTGGGCCGCGACTCTCGGCCGCCTCCCTGAAAGGGGAGCTGTAAGAGAGGTCCTTTTCCAAATTTGCTTTTACACAAGCAGCGCCCCCTTTCCCCCGTGCTCTTGTGTGGGATGCCGCCAGCTGGCGTGGAAAGAAAGGCGCTTGGAGGGAGAGTGTGTTTGTGTGCACAGCAGGAGTCCAGGGCTGCATCCCTGGGCTGCCCATGTGAAGCGGGGGAGGGGGGAGATGATGCAGCAGGTCCGGGGGAAACTTCCTAGATCCTTACACATGCGGAGCTCATGCCCAGCGTCCAGAGGGCCATCGGTTCTCTGCTCTTGCTGCAGGCCCTGCTGGGCCAGGTTGGAGTCCCCGTCGTGGCAGAGGTCGCCCTCCTCCATTCAAGACTCGGACCAGGAGGTCAAAGTCACCTGCTCAGCTGGGGGGCACCAGGGGCCATCGGCCCAACACTTGCCAAGGAAGCGGAATTTTCTCTTAGCGGCGGGGAGAGAGAAGGGCAGAGGCAGAAGGGGGAACTCTTATATCGTAAGCAGGAGCTGAGGATTCCAAGTTCTCGGAGAGCAAATCGTCTCGTTTTCTTAGCCACAGGAGTCACTCCGGGCGAGTCAGGGCATTGCAGTGCTGACTTGCCTACCGGGTCAAGAGCTAATGTACCTGTCTGCTCAAGGAATGCCCTGTTGGGGCTAACAGGTGTGGGGTTGCTGCATCCATGGGCCAAGGTGCACAGCAGCTTCTGCCCGTGGCAGACTCTCCATTTTACTCCCACCTCTCCACCTCCTGGCCCTGAGAGGACAAAACCAGACCCGGGCGCCTGGGTGGAGCCGCACGATCTCAGGCCCGTCTGCATGGCGGTGGTCCTGGGACGGACGGGATGCCGAGCCCCAGGCACCGTTGCCACGATGACTCCATGTGGACAGTCCGGTCCATGCGTGCCTTACTGATCTAGAAGCTCTTGCTTTTACCTCGAGAAAGGAAATATTTATGTCAGGGGTTTGTTTCCCCTTGTGTAGGTGACGCTGCCCGGCGAGGTGGTGGATGTAGCCTGTGGGGTCGACCACATGGTCTGCCTGGTGAAATCCTTTGTTTAGCCATCGTGCCTGACCATACCGGACAACGGGCCAAGCCTGCAGCGTCGGCAGCCCCTCGGTGGTGATGCCGGGCGGTCCCAGCAGCTGGAGGAGAGAGTGTGGCAGCACCGCGCCCGCGAGGAGCAGCCGGATTCCCTTCATTGCCAGAGGGAGCCCCTCACCGTCTCCAAAGCCAAGTAGTCCCATTTCGGGGGGGGGGGGAGGCGCATTTACTTTTGGGGTATCTCTGAGGACTTGTAGCGGCCTGGAAACAGACCCCAACGTTCAGTGGGGCAAATCAGGTTGCTAAATACTCTTGGGACAGGCAGTCCTGCTGGAAGGAAGCTGCTCTGAGAAAATGCAGGAGGCTTTCTGGCATTCAGTTTGTTATTGCTCCAAGCTGCTCACTAGGACTGTTTCGGGAAGTCTGACACCAGTTCTTGGGTAAGACACGGATTCCCCCAGCGAGTGCCTTCCTCCACTAATCCATGCAGGAGAGGGGAAAAGGCAGCAGCCCATCCCTGCGATGCAGAGAGCTCTCCAAGAACACCCTTGTCTCCCTGGGTTCATGGAAGCATTGCCGGGGGGCTTTGTAGTCCCCGGATGCTGCACAGCCACCTTTACTTTACAGACCTGCGCGCACGTTTCCTTGTGCACACCTGTGGCCGAGCGTTACATGGACAAGCCTGGTCGTCCCCTCCTCCCTCTCTCGACGTGGCCCCGAGCGGAAGAGAGGAACTCTGCAGTATTTAATGAACTGTATTTTATCATCCACCTTTGGGCAAAACTGGCTGCTTGTATCTTTGGTTGAGGGGAGTAAACTAATTTCTAACACCGTTGGTCAATAAACATTGTTCCAATAATCTTCAGAACAATTGCTTAACGAGGGGCTAAAGTTCAGCGGCAAGCCAGAAGCGTGGCTCATGGTCGCAGAGGGTGGGGAATGAGGGTGTCTAAGAAACAGCTACAATGCAGGGGTGCTGGTTTCATTCTCCCCTCGTCCAGGAATGCAGCTGATGGCCTTAAGCGTGCCATTCCCGCCTAGCCTCGCTTTCTCCATCTGGAACGTGGCAAAAAAGAGCCACTCATCCACCCGGCGGCATTTGGAAGACGGTGACGCAGGGGAAGCCTTCCGAACCCTTGAGCGTGGGCAACGCACAAATGCGTGCTGCGATGGGGCTCAGAGCGAGGGTTTGCCGGGTCGTATTTTCCCCTAGAGATTGCATGCACGTGTGGAAAACGGGGGCTTTTCCACAGCCACTTGCTGCCACCCATCTTGCACCCCGACCCCCTTGCCAGCCAGGAGGACTAAGTTAGACTTTGCAGCAAAGATGTATTGGAGACGCAGAAAGCTCCATCAGCAGCACACGGTTGCAGTGACACAGAGAAGGTTTTGCACCCGTCTCCTGGCCTCCCAGTCCTCAGCATTGACTCCACCAGCAAAAGAGACGCCCTCACTTTTCTCTGACGCTGTGGTACGAAAACGGCATGTGAGGAGGCTGTTGCTAACGCCAAGGGCACGGGCTGCTGGGAAGTTCTCCAACATGGTCCAGCGGTGGTCCTGCCCGGCTCCCACTTGCCCAGCTTGCCCAGACGTGGCCGTTGGCACACCATTCGGCTTTTCCAGGCAAAGGCCGCCATCAGTTGGCCGTGCCCACCATTCTTCAACAGTTAATGCCTTCCTACCAGTACTGCCGCTGCCCCTTTTGCCCGGCCTGGCAAAGATTCAACACCTGGCCCAGACTGAACAGGTTGGCAAGCCCTCCCTGGAAACGGGCAGCAATGGCGATCCGTGCTGCCGTGTATCCCAGAGTGCTCTGCGCACGTCTAGGGTGGTTCTTTCCCCTCCCAAGGGGCTCGCTACATCTTGAACCCCACAAGTACTGCCTGTGCTTGTGCAAAACGGGGATCGGAGGCTGGATCTCATGCGGGTTCTGCAAGTGGCTCCCTTTGCCGCTGGAGCAGCTAAAAGGACCAGAAACATACCAGGGCGGAAGCAGGTTGTGCTGCGTCTGGACCCCGGCTGGCCATCCCTCTGGCAAACCTGGATCCACCAGTCAAGTTCAAGCCCCGATGTCTTAGAGGAGGGACCAGGCAGAAGGCCAGGCTGGGCTGCAGCGCTTCATGCTTGGCTGGCCTACCATCGCTAGCTGCTCTAGCTCTCCTGCTCGGCAGCTGGGAGCACCAGGGCAGGGGCCTCCTTCCTGGTAAGCCAGAACTGCAATGTGTTTTGGAACCCCTTGCCTTCCTGGCATGGCAGCAAAAGGGTGGGTGGGGGAAACAATGTGGTTAAATTTTGCTTCGGAGCTGAACATCGGGAAACCTTCACAGTTTTTTAATGCCAAAAAATCCTCCTTCACTTCCCTCCTCTTGAAGATAATTTTTTAAAAATAATTTTCTTAAAAGCTACTGGAAGTTATTTGCCTATTCAGCAGTCTTTCGTTTCTCATTTTCTTCATGGCACGGCAATTTTTCTCCCATGCTCTCTTTGGAATAATAATAAAAAATCAAATCCCACCCCCATCCCGAAAATACTGAGAAGAAATCCTTGTCGTCAAATGCTCCCAGGGCCTCCTTCAAACGCTTCCTAGTGTTTTTCGGCTTGACTGACTTGGAGTGCATTGATAACGCTGTTGATATTTTCTTCTGGTACCTGCAAGGAACAAAATGGTAAATTAAGATGGAAACCTACAAATCTGCAGGTAAAACATGCGAGTCGACTGGCTGCTGAAGCCGTCCAGATTAGCGGGGAAATGGAGTGAAGGTCTCCAAGTCAAGGGTTGGGATAAAGGACTGGTGGAGTCTTTGTTGCAAGCGAGTATTTGAACTCCGGGGACTTGGCGCTGCCATTGCTGCCACAGCTCCATGCCTAGCATTTTTCCTGGCACGGATCGACAGCCATTTTCAGCCATCTAGAGGTGGGAAAGCCAACAGCAGCTGCCCTACCTGGCCGCTGTTCCCAAGCACCCCCTCTCCCCTGCTGAGCCCCAGTGTCACCCGGGATGACCAGCAGCATGGGCCTTGCAGCCCTGTGGCCCAGCCGTCGGCGCCCCAGCTCTGAGGTTTCAGGAGACCTACAGTGTCGGGTCCCCTCGGTGTGCAATTTCGCATCTGCTTAGAAAAAAGCACTGGAGTCTGGCAAAGGCGGGGCGTCCCAGGCCTTTCTTCTACATAAGCCAATACGCAGCACGGGCTGCTTCTGCACCGGAACAAAATAGTTTGGACAAAACAAAGGAACTGGGTTGCAACCAGATTGAGTTGGGTCAGGCCAACAGGGCTCATACCCCATGGATTTCAACAGGCGCACTGCGCGCCTGACGACGTCTGGAGCCAAGCCATTATTTTCAGATGACGCAGCGCCTGCGTTTGAGACAACGGACCAACTCTGTCCTTGAACAAAGCAAGCAGAGACACTCCTTTGGCCTCCCCAAAGAGCCAGGAATTATTCCGGGTGGGGAGCGAACAGCTCGGTACACCGTGTTCGTTCTTCCTGCCGGTTTACTCCACTTTCGGGTTGGTCACAAAGCCATACAAAAGCAACAGGTTGTCTAAGAGGAAATCAAGTGCTCCGTCCTTCTTCTTTTCCAGCTTTACTGAGACCCCCCCCCCCTTTTGACTCATGAAAGCGGCCCCTCACGTGACGCAGGGTAGCGACATGGGCTGGGAGAAACATCTAGAGGAAAAATGCTGCTGCTTTTTCCTGTGTTGCAGAAGTGTTCTCTCAAAAGAGGCCTTCCTTCCTTGTGTGAAAAAGGTAGAATCCCTGTTCTGTGCCAGCTGCTGCTTTCTCCCCTTATTCTAGAAGCCCTTTATTTTAGTTTTCAAAGGAACAGTTGGAAAAATAGAAACCTGTTCAACTGATTACACCCTGACAGAGCAACAGAGCAATCCTAGGGCCCCTGGGATTTTTCAGGGTTTCGGATCCAACCTCGGATCCTTCTCCTCTCCCACATAATGTGGAAAGTACAGCAGTGTGGGAAGCCGGAAATCTGCCACCAGACAGATAATTATACAGTCTAAGCTACAACTTCTCTCACCCGTCCTGCGACTTCCACCAGTTCCCACCCGTTTTCTTCTCTGCATCTTTTAAGAGGCACTTTTGGATCACAGCATGAGAAAGGTTCTTAGCAAATAAAAACATGTGCCGCTAAAGTAAAACATTATCAGGAAAGCGCATTTGGGTCTGGATCTTCCTGACTCACTGCTTTCCTACGCAGATAATCTCAGGTGCTGGAGCTCGTGATACAGACCTTCCGGCCAGACACTCTTGATCACACCAGTGAGAAATAGGCCAGTGTGTTAGCTTTAAGACAGGTGTTGAGACACTTATCAGTGTGGTTAATGTTCAAGAAAACAAGCTAAATGGACCTCGCCGTTTGACCTTCACTATCTGAGATCATGTTGACTTTTTTGCTCTGTGTACACTTTAGAGTGTCCAGGCTGGAATAGAGAGAAAAAAAGACCGAAGCGAAGAAGGGAAGGCAGCTTGGTTTTGCTGCTCGAGCTTTTAATGGGTTAAAAGGTCAAGATGTCAAAAGGGGCTTAATGCATTTTAATGGGGAAGGTAATGCATACAATTGCGGCAATTGGATGGAGTTTTGTTGGGGTGGAAAATACACATAACTCATCCAGGCAAGACCAGACATTAGACAAACTTGTGACACCAGAAGGAGGATGCAAACTTCAGAAATGGCATGCGAACACCTGGTATAACCAGGTTGGGTCTGCTTGCCTGGTCTGAGCTTTGGGACCTTGAGGTACAAAATCCAAAAGGACTTTTTTCCAACAAGGAAAACACATTGCTGGTTTTTCTCCAGCAGCTGCCCAGAAATGTATGCGGCTGTTGAATTGGACTGCACGGGCTGAATGCTTAGACCTTCCTTCTGAAGGGAAGATGCTTAAGCAGCACTTGAACAAAGATCCTGAGATGTTTCAGGCCTCATCTCCCAAGGTCCACCATGGGCCACGTGGCAGGGTCTCCTGGGAGTAGAATTCCAAAACATCTGGAGAGCTTCCTTCAGCCACTGCTTTAAGGCCCTCAAGGAAAGAGTGGCATTCCAGGAGATTCCCTGCCAAAAGTCACAGGTTGTTTCCTGCTTCCCTTTTTAATTTTTTTATTCAAATGTGATTTTTTTTTTTGTACCATCCCATTCCCATAGGCTTACAGACCAAAAATCAAATTTAAACCAAAAGCAGGCATATTAAATAGAGCTAGTCTGGGAAGACCTGTTGCAAGTGGCACATTTTAATGCCCTCTAGAAGAAGGCAACCTATGTGATGCATCTCCTGGCAGGCTAGTCCACCCTTCGGGGAAAGTCCTCTGCCACTAATCCTGCAGAAGCAAAGTGCAGAAGAGAACTTCCTCGGGCTTACCAGTGCATGATCGAATTTAAAAGTACTGATGTAATAGGCTGGGATATCAGCTGCAGCCAGAGGTTCAGAGATCCGTGCCACAATCCCACACTCATCTAGGAGGAAGAGAAGAGAAAATGCAGCTCGTGACAAACCCAAGTTACTAAAGGAGAATGTGGTCTAGTCCCAGTGCTTCGTGCCTGGGCAACTTCAGGTGAGATTCCTGCAATGCTCTCTATGAAGGGCCGCCTACAAAGAAATGGAGCTGGTTCCACATACGGATGCGAGTCTCTTAACCAGGGCCCTGCATTGGTTGTATCAGAAATCCACAAATGGATGGAATCAATTGGCACGTCTTAACGAATACCAAGAATTCAGGTGGGTTTGATTTCCTTAGCACACGTGCACCTAACTTACAAAACCAGAGGTCAGAACCGGCTCACTTTGCCATGTATTTTAGTCTGTGGGAAAGCAAAGAGTCGGGAAGCCCACCATACCATCAAATATGCCTTCTTACTGTATTCTTAGCATCCAATTGCAATTTTGGCACTCCTGAGGCACACAGGAAACCCTTAAGACCTTAAGCAATAATGGACAAGGAACAGTGGATTCTGCCCACGGCTCTGATAAGATAAAAATACGTCTCAGAATCAAGGTAGGCACTTAGAAACAGTTGGATGTAAGTGTTTTATCCCTGGGATACTGCGAATTTCTCTCATCATGCCTCTTTTGAAGAGAAACTGCTAGACTTTTTCCTTTCCCTTTTTGAAATGCATGAACTTCTCTTTGTCCTGGTTTCCACTGAACTGGCAACAGTTTGTGCTGCGCTGGGACTGCTGTCTATAAAAGTAGAAACCCTTAAATTAGTCCTCTTTTGGGGGAGCTAAAGGTGATATTTAAGCAAATGTTTGAATTTGTGATATCTGCAGTGGAAGAAAGAGAGTTTGGGGTTTTCGACATCCTTTTACTCTTGCTGGGCTATGACAGAGCAAAGCTAGTTCTGCGGCAAGGCCTTGAAGAGGCTGAAACGCAGTCACAAAGAGCGGCATTTCCAGTTGCCTAGCAAGTAAAATTTCCACTCATTCAGTCCCTTCCCACCATATTTGGTTGATTTACCTACAACTAAAATGAGAACTGCTTTTGCCTGGGCTAAATGTACTTCCTTTGGCAGTTCAGGGAATTCCCAAGAGAGGCAGAGTTTGTTTTTGTATCTCTTTAGACCTGGAAGACATAACTGGTTTTATTTTAGAATGCCACATTTATTCTGAAATTAGGAAACTATATATCCTTCCCCTGCTGAGCTGGATGGAAAGATGATGGTCTTTTACTAAGCGACTCTAAGAAGGATTTAACTTTCGGGACTGCAAAATCTTTTGTTCTGGCCCTGTGTTTGTGGGCCATGGCCAAGCGATCTACACTCAGCTGACAGTTAATTGCTTACAGTAAACGCATAAATGCAAACATAAAATAAAACGCCCTGGTAGGGGCTTTCTGTTAAAGAGTTTTGGAACAGGAACTTTGGTTCAACATGAATTTTGACTTAAGCAAACCAGTCCTGATAGATTTCACGCTTCACCTTTGGGAGTAAAGGCCTTAGCGTAAGGCCTATTTTACTTGGGTTTTGTTGGATTCCTGGTGGTGGAAAAGCAGGCACGAAAGCCCCTTGGCACAGAATTGCTAGGTAGCCAGAACAGAACAACCGTATAAAATTTGCAAACCATATAAAACTTTCCATGCAAATTTAGAAAGTAAGAAATGGCAGTTCATTTCTCACCCAACCAAGCTCAGATATTTTTTCCACCCCACTGCTGATCAGTCAAATGCGCTGTTCCTGTTGCACTGCAATTCGTTTGCAATTGCTTGGAAGAAATGCAAAAGGGAACGGCTGGTCGTTTTTTTAATGAGTCCTTTCACTCGCACACCTAAAACATGGCATGTTTTACAGCAGAAGATGCTTGCAAACTTTGACAGGAGTGCTGATCCAAAAGCAAGGCACAGGTGAATATGGTGCTCACCCCAAATTAATTTCCCAGTCCCCAGCCAGATTCCGCTGCAAAATGTCAGCAGTCTGTTACCACAATTTCTCCATCTTTGCCTCCATACATTGAATTTGAAATAAAATCAAGAGATGCACAGCTAGGGTGCCTCAAAATGCGTTGTGGATGATAGGCTGGCTGTGAGACTGAGGAGAGAGATGAAAGCAGGCAACAAAGAAAGGAAAAGGGAGGAAGGCGAAGAGGAAGGAAAACAGGTTTGGGGACGAAAAGTCCCTGGGAGAAAGAGAGCTGAGCATGAGAGCTGAATTGTCACGCAGAACGCATGGGGTGGAGCAGGAACAGAGGGTTGCCTGGAGTTGGGGACAGGCAGGTGACTATCCTACCCCGCCGCCACACACACACAATTGCCACCTCCTTTGAAAATCTCTACTTGTGTGACCATAAAACTGGAAGGTTAAAAAAAGCCCGCCTTTTGGTTATCAACAGACACTCTGGCACTGCTTCCAGATCAGATGCCTGGCTTTGCACTCTCAAACATGTCGGGAATCATGATTTTTCTTCTCCTGCTGGTGCCCTGGTTACAGAAGCTGCTTTTGCTGCTAAGAGGAGTCCAGCCAGGATGACCCAAACTTCTTGTGGGTCATTTTTGTGCAAAGCAGGCATTGATCTCCTTTCCTAGAGGGGGTACCTCCACCCCCAGCGAAGAGACAGGCTACAGGGGGAAATGGGCCCAGATCCTGGGGTCGACCAAGCCAAGTCCCACCCTGCGCTCGGGCAGCCGTTATCATCGCTCCCACTTTGAAAAAGGAGATCAGTCCAGAACTCGGACTCCCCGGCATCAGGAGCACCTTGTACCCAGAGCGTAAAACCAGGATCTTGTCCCCTGAAAGCTGGACTTTAACCCTCCTGCAGGGGCAGGAGTATGCAGAAAGATGGGGCGAATCGACACTGTTTCCCCCTCGCTCTCTGGAAAACGGAGGCTTGCAAAAGCTCGCCTGTTTATTGCTGTCAGTTGCGCTCGCTCTCTCTCTCTCTCTCTCTCTCTCTCTCTCTCTCTCTCTCTCTCTCTCTCTCTCTCTCCTTGGTGTTTGCTTTTGCTCAGGGTCTTGGTGAATGTACATGAGGATGGTTAAATGGGCCCTCAGTGATCACGCAGCCCACGGAGTATATCATCTTTGTTGCACGGAGAGTGTGGCACAAAGGGAAGCCGCTGGACTTAAAGATGTGGGACGCATGGGAAAGAATCCTCTTTGGACCAGAGGCCACCTGGACCGCTGCACTGTTCAGAGCATTTCTGGCTGACAGGAGGAGACCGGCGGCCCTGAAGGAAAGGGAGCAAGGGCGCATGTTCTGGTTTGATTGCACCTGGCTGGCAGAGGGACGAGAGCTCGCCCAGAATGCTTCACAAAACAAACAGGTTGCATCCACACGGGAATTTCACTGCTAAAGTGCTAAATCAGATGCTCCGGAGACAAATCCTGTCCCTGAAGCGACTCAACGGCTCCCCTGGGGTTCCTTATAGAGCCCCCACCAACTTTCTTAAACAAAGCAAACAAAAATGGACGATGGAGGTGCGAACTGGGCCCACAGTCCAGAAGTCTGGGGGCCACCACCAAGACGATCCTGCCAGCTGGCACGAGGGTAGGCATAGGTGGTGGAGGGATTCAAAACAGTGATTATGAAAGGCGGCCAGAATGGTGTGCATGGAGAGGGATTGCTCTTTTGGAGGATTAGTGGTTTTAGGGTCTTAAAGAGAATAACTAACAGCAGTGATGGCTCCTAGTCCTCATGGTTTTGTGCTGCACCAGTAATGGGGCAGTGTGCCCATGTGCACCTGTTGCTGGGGAGCATGGGCAGGGGTGCTCTTGCGCTCGCATCCTGCTGATGGGTTTTGTGTGGGCAGCTCGTCAGACACTGTGGGCAGAGAAGGCTGCGTGAGACGAACCGGCCCTCCCTCGTGCGTGACACCTTGAATCAGGCTTTCAAAAAAGCCAACAGTCGGAATAGGGTAAGAATGGGCTGGCACATTCTGACTCCTAAGCTCCCTAGAACAGCAGCAGAAATTGGAACTGGCTGTAGCTTTAAGCACTGTTTAGAGGCAGTGGTTTAGGGACACATTACAGAGACAAAGGGTAAGCTTCCAGCAATCACAGACGGGAATAAACAGAAAGGGAAACTGAAAGGTTCGTGGTATGAGCGTTGGACACCTGCAAGAACGGGGCGGTAGTTCTGTCTGCCACAAAGGATTCTGGGTCAGCCACTCACTCTCAGCCTAACCTACCTTGTAGAGTTGTTGTGAGAATGAAACAGAGCTGAACAGACCCTTGGAAGCAACCCTGGGTTCCATGCAAAAGGAAGGCAGGCAATTCCTGCCATGATAACAAGGCTTCTGCGATGGAAGGACCAGGGTTTGGTTTGGAAGATCCCATCGGCTGAGCATTACGACGTGACATACCAAAGCCGAGGGGCTGCCCTCCGATGCGAACCATCTTCCAGAGTTCTCCCGACGCGCTTGTAAACAACAAATTGTTGGGGAACCTGAAAGAAAGAGAGCACCGAGGGAAGAACAAAATAGGAGGCTGTTTTATCCAAGTGTCTTTGGATTCACAAGTTTTGCCCTGAATCAATAACTCTGGGCAAAGAAAGATGCTGTCACCCGAGTGCCATTTTGGATTAGCTCCACATGGCTCATATAAGTTTGTCAAACAGTTTAAGTTTCTGAAGCTGGCAGACTAAGGGCATAGAGAAACGCAGAACACAGACAGAAGGGACCTCCCGGGCCATCTAGTTTGACCCCCGGCTCCAGCTGGCTCCGCTCACGACATGCCCACCACGTGCATGTCCAGCCTATCTTTGAACACCCTCGGTGATGGGGCCTCAATGACCTCCCGGGGAAGCCCATTCCACACCCTCGGGGTCCTGACTGTCAGGAAGTGCTTCCTGGCATCCAAATTGAACCTTGGCTCCCTGAGCTTTGCTCCCTTGGAGCGCGTCCTGCCTTCCCCTGCAGGGGAGAACAGGTCTCTACCCACCTCCGTGTGGCATCCCCTCACATACCTGTATGTTGCCAACAGATCCTCTCTGAGTCTCCTCTTCTCCAGACTGAAGAGACCCAGTTCCCTCAGTCTCGCCTCATACGGCATCCCCTGCAAACCGGCCACCAACCTTGTGGCCCTGCGCTGCACTGACTCCAACCTGGCTATATCCTTCCTGTAATGAGGGGCCCAAAACTGAGCACAATACTCCAGTTGTGGGCGCACCAGAGTCGTGTAGAGTGGTAGTAATACCTCTCTTGATCTAGAAGCCACACTTCTGGCTATGCAACCAAGGGTGGCGTTGGCCCTCTTGACCACCGCATCATGTTCAGCCTGCAGTCAACCAGCACCCCAAGTGCTGCTCTCCAGCCACTTGTCCCCTAACCTGTACTTACGACACCCATTCCTGTGCCCCAAGCGCAAGACCTTGCACTTATCCACATTGAAGGCCATCTGAAGGCCAAATTCGTTTCAGAAGACCATCCTGCTAGGGACAGTCAACGGCAGAAGAAGAGGAAGGCCAAGTATGAGGTGGATGGGCCCCAATCCACCCATCCACAGTCGTGAATTTGCCAGAGCTGACCAGGGCTGTCATGGATAGGAGAATCTGGAGCAGGTTCTGCCTAAGCTGGGGACGCCTTGATAGTACAAAGGAACAAGCTGTCGGGTTGTTCTGAGGAGGACATGAGAAGCCTTAAAGCTTCTGGGACGCCAACCTTTGATCGACTTGCTCACTGAATGCACACAACTGCATGACATTTATCAAGCCGGAGCGGGACCTCACCTTTTCTGTGTCTGAACATCCATCACTAAGGAAATATAACCCTCGATGAGAGAAAAGGAGAAGAAGTGAATGTGCCCGGCGCTTTCATGGCCGGCCGCTGGTTCTTTTACTCTGGGGACGAGAGAGGGCCAGAGTGGTTAGCGCTGCGGAAGCGATTCGGGCAATCCCAGCACTGTGCCAGGCAAGGTCAGAGGTATAAATAAGGTTTTGCGCAGCCTCCTTCCAAATAGAGGAAAGCCATTTCTGCTGCTCTTTGAAAGAGATCGGCTTGTCTTTGAGCTTATTTTATTGCTACATAAACTCTTGTGGAAATATGCTTTGTATGCATGTTTATAAACAAGCAGCACTTATAGGTGAAAATCTCTATTTTGGTTTCTCCTTTTTCCTGTCTGAAGTTTGCTCTGTCCTGTTCCTCCACCGGGTTTTTTAAAAAGTGTTTTTATTTTTAAAGCCCACCCAAAATGCAAGCTCATTTCTCCTAAGAAACATGCAATTTTGCCTAATAGCTTTGCCAGAATCTGTTCTGCAATGCACAAACAGGCTTTGGAATCCAAATAAAGATGGATTTTCTGCAGCCCTCAGCTTCTCCAGCAAAACCCACTGGCTTTTTTGGCGAAACAAACATCTTAAGAAATAAAAGAACAGTCAGGAAAGGCACATGGCAGTGTCACTTTGGCGGTCTCAGGAGCAAAGGTGGAGCTGCTGGCATTACGAAGACTTTGTTCTCAGGAAATGCGAGAGACAAGCACACTTCCCCACCTGGAATGCCTCGTCCCACACCCCATGGGCATCGCTGCCTCTTCCTCTTTGCAGAGGAATAGCACGTATTATCGTCAGGCTTGCTAATGGGCATTTAGATCGTGCCTGCAGCATGCTGAAATGACTGCCTGTATTAACATGCAAGCTTTACAACAACCCTATAAGGTAGTCCCAGGTTATATACTCCCTTAGAGATGGGGGAGGCTGAGATGGCAATCCACGCCTCACACCAGCGGATGAATTCCTGGCAAAGATTTGTCTCCTGGTTGTCTTGCTTGACGCTCAGGTTTTTTAAAACCTTAATGTAACACACTAGTTCTCATGGAGGGATGAATACACCTGGACAACTTCAAGCAAAAGATGGACACCCCCTGCAGAAGCCCTCTGTATTTCTTGCACCAGACCCAAAAATTCCATTCAGAATCTGTCTGGGCTCCCCTTAAAGGCCCCCCCCCCAACCCGGTGCTCAGGCAGTGCAGCTGCGCCCGCAGGCGACTGTTTGAATTCCTCAGTGCATCCTGGGCATGAGACCAGCTTGGCTGAATTCTCGCACATTTCAGTGGTGGCTCCTGCAGGATGCAAGTGCGCACGGATGCACAGAAGGGCTGCTGGAAGCCCCTTTGCGGAGGGCGCCTCAAACCAGCCAGGAGACGGCCCTGCGCATGCTCCGGGTCCTCCAGCAGCCCCTCTGCACTCTGGATCCGTCCTCCTCTCTGGCTTGGCTGCACAGAGGGAACCAAGCCACCGTCTCAAAATCCTGACGCCCTCTGAGCTGGGATTGATGCCACGGGTCGCCAGGAACGGACCGTCCTCATGCCCCACGGTCAGAGTGGGGTTTCCAAAGAGCAGGCCTGCAAACGGTCCGCATCCGGTTCATACAGTTTACCATTTGCAAATTGAATCTTTCAGGACAATTCCCTCGCTTTAGAAATGTGAGAGATCGAAAATGCTTTTCAAAGGATCTAATGGATGCATGCAGAGATATTAAAACAGGAAGCGTTTTGGAAGGAAGCGTATCAAGGACCGGCTTCAGGCGCAGCAAGGACGATGTCAGAGTCCTGCTGAAAAGCGGAGCTTAAAACGATCAGAAGGAAGGCCAAACCTTGTGAGGGGATGTGGGTTAACAGTGCGAGTAGACCAAGGTATTTCCTTTTACACTTCCCCTGTCTGAACATACCCATTGGAGTAAAACATGACGTCCATAAGGAGTGTAGCAACGGAGGGAAGGGTATCGGGGTCCAAGCTGGTGACGCAGAACATGTTGCTTGGACTAGAAAGAGGATGGATGACCGGCCTCTGAACTGAAAGAGGGGGAGAGACACAGAGAGAGAAGAGTGAGGCTTTGCTTTTCCTGACATGCTGAGATTGGCAGCTGGGCTGCTCCACTTCACATGGCTGAATGTGTCTCCATTCAACCCCAAACTAAAACATCTCCTCCACATGGAAAGGTAGCATGTCAGGGAGAAGGTTTCTTGGAACCCTTTTCCCTGAAGGGCTAGTGTTCCGTGTGCAGGGAGCTGCAAAACCTTTGCCCTGCTGGCACCGCCCGAGGCCGTTTACCCACGGACAAGGGCTTGGCCTGCACGGAGCCTCGCTGTCCGACTCCACAGGATGGCAGTGGACCTCTGGTTGTGCTAAACTTGCAACGGAATCAAGAGGGCCCGAGGAGGGTTGCCTGGTGATGCGCCAGCCAAGGCTGGGAGCGAAAGAGAACTCGCCTCCAGCATTGCACAGGGAAAGAGGAGGCACTTCCGTGCACAGGCAAAATGGCTTTCCTCTCATCAAGGGCCACGGCGTGGTCCCACGGACGGCCTTCTCTGCGCTTTGGTGTTCAGGCATGTGAACGGGCCCCCAGTGGCGGGGACGGCAGAGAGGAGGCGTCTGGGGGCAGAGGGCTGTTGGGGCCAGAGTGGGGAAGGGAGTGCCGGAAAGCCCTCCCGTTCCCTTGAGATGCTCCCAGGCTGGTGGAGTCCTGGAATTCCTGCATAATTTCCCCTCCCAAAGGAACACACTGTTAGCACCAATTGCGCTACATGCGGGTTGGATCCATTCCCTGCTCAGAGGGGACGTAGCCGCCAGGGGATAACTCCCGGCACACGGACACAGCTGTCCTCCCACCGGTCAGATTTTCAACTCCAAGCTGAGACAGAGTAGGGCAGGGGTCTCCAACTCAACTTCCCTGGGGCCCGCTGGAAGTAGAGTCTGGGTGAGGCTGGGCCGCATCAAGGATTCTCCCACCGCGGTGGTGGGGGGCCGCTCATCCCCGGCGCTTTGAAGGCTGCAGGGCCCTCCCCCGTGCCCCCCCGTCCCGACCATTGGCCCGTGGGCCGCAAGTTTGAGACCCCTGGAGTAGGGACAACAATTCTTTATGTGCGGGAACCAGAAAAGGAGCTCAGATATGGGTAAAATTGGGCCAGGCCTACCCAGTTTTGGTTTCATAAACCCGTTGGCGATCCCCAGGCTGTCGGCTGCCACCGTCTCCCCATTCACGACCCGCAGGATGGTGAACTCGGAAGCCAAAGTATGCATCACGAAGGGCAGGTCTCGCTCACGTACCTGAGTATGGAGGGGGAAAGCCCTACTCGTGAGAAAAAAATACTCTCATAGAAGCGTGCAGTTGGAAGGGCCCTACCAGGCGATTGGGTCCAACCACCTGGTCAGTACAGGACTCAAGTCACCCATCCAGGTTTCAGCCCAGCCAGACCCTGCTTAGCTTCCAAGATTAGGCAGCACCAGGTACATCAGGCTATTTTTGTTAGTTTATTAGTTTCTGGTGGCTCATGGGGGCAGCCACATTTGCTAAAATTTCGGGTGCAGTCTCAGCCCAGAAGACAAATCTGGCCTGCCAGGGTTTCCCCTTCCTAGCCCCCAAACACCCACCATTCTGTAGTTTCCCAGCTTTTGTGCCATTTCCCCCTCTTCTAAATGGTTGAAATGGCTGGAAAAGAGGGAACAGGGCCCTTTGCACGGCTGGCTGGCACAGTGTTTCCTTACCAGGATGAAGTCTGTTTGATAGGTGGACAGCATGAACACGGAGATGTTCTGTTCGGCCAGCGGGGCTATCACAGACTTGGCGATCTTGGTCACGCCAATGGGCTGGGAACTAGAGAAACTGCCCCCTCCGGACACCACGTTGAGGGCCAGCCATGTTGCGTCGGCCACGCTGAAGTGTTCAGACGAGGGGAGCTCTGAGACCAAAGGGGAAACACAGCGGTTAGCAGCGCCGATCGGGCGAATGCCCTGCGTCCTGTCAAGAGCCGAGCAGTAGTTCTGGAGGCGAATCAATGAGCACGACCAAGAGACTGCTCAGGCCGGAGTGCGCGGTGGCGTCCGCCTACCCCACAAGCAGCAGCTTGTCTTAGCATCCGGTTTGCAGGGCGAGATGTGATAACAGCACCTTCCACAGGGTGGAAGTCACAGGTCAGTGGCTTGCAGCGAACAACACAAGATAAATGCGAATAATCTGCCAGCCAGATTTGATGCAGTCCACAAAGCCTCAGACAAGAGCCTCTTTGTTCACGAAAACCTTTGGCTTGTTAGTGGCTCTGTTGGACTGGGGTGGCTTTATTTTTTATTCTGTTATGCTTTTACTGCATTTCCCCCTTTTAATCAATTTTAATTGTGCCTGGGAGTTTCCTTGAGTCCCATTGCTTGGGAGCAAGACTGGGTGCAAAGCGAAGCCATCAATAAGGAATATCATTGTTGGTCTTTAAGATGCTACACGTCTAATGAATTTATTGGGGCAGAAACTTTGGTATCATAGAATCATAAAGTTGGAAGGGACCAGAGGGCCATCGGCTCCAACCCCCTGCTCAGGGCAGGACTCCAAGTTGAACCTTCTCTCTGAGATGGCTATCCAGCTGCATCTTGAATGCCTCCAGGTGGGAGAGCCCCCCACCTCCCTAGGGCTTGGGTTTTATTGTCAAACTGCTCTAACGGTCAGGATCTTTTCCTGATCTCTAGCTGGGATCTGGCTTCCTGGAACTTGTAATTCCGTGTCCTGCACTCTGGGATGATGGAGAAGAGGTCCTGGCCTTCCGAGTGCTATTCTATCTCCTCTCAGTCTTCTCTTCTCAAGGCTCAACATGACCAGTTCTTTTGATCTCTCCTCAAGTGGGCCTTGTCTCCCATCCCTGGATCATCCTCGCTGCCCTCCTCTGCCCCTTTCCAGCTGGTCTGCACCTTTCTTAAACTGTGCTGCCCAGACCTGGACAGAGTACTTGAGATGTGGCCTAACCAGGGAAGGGGAACTAGGACTGAGTGAAGGACTTCTCTAGGACTTCACAGAATGTGGAAGTGATTCTTTTATAATGCAGCCCAAAATAGCATTTGCCCTCTTTGCAGCCACCTCACATTGCTGGCTCATATTCCGCTTGTGCTCTAGAGCCCTTGTCACAGGTAGATTTGACTTACCCCAGAGGTAGGAAACCTGCAATGAAAAGATCATCAGGTCAGCTTGAGTCAAAATTTGTCAAAGAGGGTTCCCCAAAGTTCAGAAGCCCCAACTCTGTGCTGATTGCAGAAAAATAATTCTGCCTCTGCAGCTAGCACAAAATCCAAGGAAACTCACTGGCTTGCATGGAATTCTTGGTTGCCTAAGGTTGCCATGAAATTTTAAATAAAATTTCAAAAGCTGAAGAAAGGATGGGAAGAGCAACTAAAAGCAGTTTCTTCTGCAAAGGAACTGTGTGCTTCCTTCAGTTCTGGAACTCAGGACATATTCTTTAAATACGCATTTTTCGGCAGGCTTGGGCTTAGTGAATTTGGAGGCTCTGTGGTGCAAAACGAGGGAAGGCAGCAGGAGAAACGACACCAAAACCATCAACAACCACAAAACCCAAAGCACCTCCCACAAGCCTGAAGTCTGCTCACTGCTGGAACAGAGAAATGCCTGCAATTAGGGAAAAACGTCAACAGCTTTTTCACCTGCATCAAGGAAATATATAAATGCAGCTGGCTAGTAAATAAATACATGCAAAACATTATTTTTATGCCTGGTTAAACTTTGCCACTAGCATCTTTTTTTATCTGTCATTAGCTTGCACGGATATGTGTGATACGGTTTTCTAAGTATCGCAGCTAACACGCGAAACCAAAGTAATACTCGACCAAAAGTTTGTGGGAAGTTAGACTTATTTGTTTCCTTCTGCATGCAATCAACGTTTCCCCTCAGTCCAAAAGCAGCCCAGTGCCCTCATCTGAACCGGTAACTGCAGTAACGGTATTTCACATACATGTGCCCAAACGTGCCTTTGCAGGTGTGCGTTTGTGTCTGCTTCACTGGGTCAGCAGACAAAGTCTCCAAAATCCCGTGTCGTCATCTTGTTCGCTTGAGCAACCTGACTTTCAAAAATAAGTCAACTGCATTACGAGAAGAAGCAACTGTTTTTGGAAAGGAACTAAACTGCAACTCCTGGACTCCATTCCTGGGAGGCAGATAGATGGGAAAACACGAGGCAGGCTTGTAATGAAACACAAGTTCGGAAGGGGCAAGAAGTGATTAAGAAAACTCATCCTAAATAGACGTGCGAGACAGTTCCCTAGCCCAGGGAGCTGTGAAACGTACAAAGAATCCTGGAATTGCAAAAATGAGCTAGGAAACTGAATCACTGCTGGAATTTTCCTGCAACAACCTAAATGCCAGCTCGCAGGAAATGGAGATCAAGGAGATTACGCGAGGCCTTTAGTCCACGCAGCTTCATTGTCTACGCTGGCTGTGGGACTTCTCAGGTGGGTCTTCCCTATCACCTGGAAGGGACCCGAACTGGGAAGTTCTGGATGTGTGCTCTGCGGCCTTCCTGCGACATCTCCTTACACATGTGCACGGCACGAACACCTGGTGTCTCCCCGCTTTGAAGCAGCTGCTTGATCTGGCCATGTGCTAGCGAAGGGTGTGGCAATCTGGCAGGAATTTGCCTCTCTTCCACCCACCAGACTTTCTTCCCATGTTTAGCCCTGGCCAGGAGGCAAGCTGAATGGAGAGTAAGTCCATGAATGCTTGGGAACATGTGTGTCTTCTTTGCAGAGGTGGGTCATGACCTTTTCCCCCCTGCGATGGAGGGGGAAATGCATTCCAATGGAGCAAAGCTCAGGGAACGAAGGCTCAATTTGGATGCCTGGAAGCGCTTCCTGATGGTTAGGACCCCGAGGGTGTGGAATGGGCTTCCACGGGAGGTGGTTGAGGCCCCATCGGTGCGGGTGTTCAAGGACAGGCTGGACATGCACATGGTGGGCATGTCATGAGCAGAGCCGCTGGAGCCAGGGGTCAGACTAGATGGCCCGGGAGACCCCTTCTGACTCGCTGTTTCTGTGTTTGTGCAAAGCATGTGATTCTGCGGGGGATGCTGGGAACTGGATTCCCCCACTGAGCCGGACACTGGGCTCAATGGTGGCCCGAACAACCCGCTCCAAGCTCTGCGACAGGGGGGCTTCCGTCCACGCATGAAACAGATGTGGACGATGTGAGTCTGCACTCTTCCAGCCCCTTGGAGGTGCTCCACTTACAGTCCAGGGTCTTCCCTCCAAAGGGAAAGTTCTCTAGGGGGACTCAGGGAATTTCTGATGATTAAAAAAAACCTTGGTCGTTTTTTGAGCTGCCAACACTTGACTGTTCCCTTGGGCAAGGACGTTCCACGAAAATGTCCCGGAAAAAGCTATCGGGCACTGCTTCCCATCAAGAGCCGAAGTCAAGGCCAAATTCTGTAATGCGTTGGCGACTACTACTGGGACACTGCTGCCTGTTCTCATCCTAAAAACTGGCATGCACAGGTAGAAGACGCCATCAACGGAAAAATGCCAGCAACTGCCACTTCTTTCCCCCTCTTTTCAAGCTTCCGGGGAGCAGCCCTGAAGTCTTTGTGGCTGAGAATAAATAGCGTTAAAGAAAAACCTTTAAGAAGGTAACAGTTGAAGCTAGTTTCGTGGCAAGAACAACAGGAGGAGATCTTGTGAATGTCCACAAATTTGTCTTTCGATTCATTCTAAAGCAGGTGTTTGTGTTCTGAAGTAGGGGCTCGAAACTTGGCGAAAATGCCTCTGGAATATGAATTAAGTGCCTAGTTTTGTGGAAGGGGAAAGTTGATTAAGCAACCTGCCTAAACTCTCATGATTTGCAGATCCACTGTGGGGGAATAAAATAAAAAATCTGATCAAAGAGGAGTGATCACTGCTGTGGATTTCCAGAAAATGAAAATGTTCTAATTTGCAGATTGCTCCAGAAACAATTCAGCTGGTATTAGAAAATCAGCTGATGCCTCAGAGCGTGATTGAATATCATTTTTACTTTACTTGCAGTCAATAAACGAAGATAAAAATCTATCCCATTTTATTTTCATGTCCGAGTACACCAGTTTTTCAAGCTGGTATGACTGAAAAGGGAAAATTAAGCATAATTTAAGTGTAATACAGAGCAATTTAAATGCTGTATTACATAGATTTTATTGAAATACTAATAAAAAATTTAAGTTAGCAACATGAACTTCCCTTAAATTGTTATATTTAGGAAATGAAGCCAATGCAGTGAAAACCCTTCTATTTGTTTCAGATATTTTTTTTTACTACTTTTAATTTTAACCAAATCCCAAAGCGATCCACAAGATTAAAAACGCGATAAAATAGCACGAAACCAATCAATAAAATCTAATTAAAATAATTAGCGGGAGCTGACAATGCTAGTGCTTAGAAAATGCTTGGGCAGAAAATGTGTCGTAAGTTGCTGGCAAGACCTGTTGCATGGACGATGTTTTAGCAACCCCAGGGATGGCGTGACGGGTCACAAGCCATAACACTGAATCTGCCAAGCTTTCCTGGGAGGGCACGGACAGCTACCACATCCTAGCAGGCTTCTCCAAACCGGTGACTTTCAAGCGTGTTGGACAACTCTTGTGTCCACCAGAAGAGCTGCTTATTGCAAGATGCTCTCCATTTGGCAAAGCCAGGCGGGAGTGCCAGGTACGGTGAAGGGGGGCCTTGGGAACCTCACCACAACTACCCATCCCAGCATTCTTGGAGGGCGGTCGTGACACTGAGTGGTTTCAGCTTCTTCTAGAGACTGATCTGCAGAGCAGGTAAACCAGGTCTGCTCCACTTGGCCATCCTGACGACGAGACCCATTTTTCAGTTGCCTTCACTTTGGAGACCAGGAGAAAGGCCGGACGTGCTTCGAATGTGTGGTAAGTGGCGACTCGCGTTTGGCACTGGAGGTCACAGAAGGCTCAGGCCAGGGTGGGAGCCAGAATTCCTTGAGCACGTCTTAGGACAGGATGCCCAAAATATGTCAGGATGAAGCAACCACAAAACACAAACCCGCTCAGCAGGTTGGAGCGTTTCTATAATTAGGACAAGAGACATCTCGTCTCCGGCCTGTGTTGACATCCCTCTCTTCAGGAATGTGTTTACATCAAATTCAGAAGCCGCTCGGTCAGTCGGACATGAGCCAAGCGCAAAATTCCCTTGCGTTTTGAAGCCTTGCTAATCGGATGGGGTCCCCGGGGACCTGTGTGGCCGAACAATAAGGACTGGGTGGGCAGAGCGTGGACATGGAGGGGTGCGAAAAGAGAAGGAAACCACTCTGTTAGCAAAGAAATTTATTCCAGGCCCGCTGTGTTTCAGGGGGAAACATCCTCTGGGGAGCTATTAACGAAGGAGCAAATACACAGAAAGCAGGAAAGGAACGGCAAAATGTAATAAACAGATGTTTGCATAATCTGATATTGAAGGAATGACACACGTTTGGATGAAGAGCTCAGGAAAAAAGGGTTCCAATTTAAGTTATCTTCGTCTAGAAGCTTCATGAGATCATGACGTCAGCAAGACCTAATTGCATTGAGGAAAGAGAGGAATATGCATTTCCAAAAATCCCCCAGAATGCTCAGGAAACATGCATTTGCAGCCTGATATTTGGCTATATAAGCACATCTTTGTGATGTGGATTCCATAAATTTTGGGTACTGTGTAATGTACCAGCTAGTGAAAAGAACTTGTAGCTGAGAGCCGGTGTGATAGTTTGAGTGTTGGACTGGGGACTTGGCAATCCATGTTCCAGTCCCCACTCGGCCATGAAGCTCTCTGGTGACTGGGAGAGTCACCTCCTCCCAGCCTAGCCTACCTCACAGGGTTGTTGTTGTGAGGAAAAAATGGAGCCACATAAGCCTCCATGTATTTCTCACATGAGAAAAAAGGCAAGATATAAATGCAAAGTAAGAACAAGAAACAAAAGGACCCAGAATATTAAAGACTGTCTGACTCATCTTGACTCTTGCATCCAGATTTCAGCTTATTAGTCCTCTATGTTTGCAGCTTTGGCCCTTAGGCACTGCGGCCAATTTAACGCACTAATAAGACACGGGGGGGGGGGGCACAGATTTTTAAAAAGCTTCCTGTCTAGGCAGGCTATACCATCAAATGCTCCGTTCATGCATTTCAAACAGG